GGACGGATCCTCCAGTGGTGGGACGCCGCATCGGCACGAGGGAAGGTCGCCTTCCGTCGGACACGCCCATGACTGAGCGGCGTCCCCTTGCATCGTGTTTCTCAGGCCTTCTGCTTTGAGCCGCTCTGCATTCACACCGTCCGCCCGAGAGGAAGGTGAGCGCTGTTGTTTTCTTCCGGCCTCACTTCCTCTTTCGCCAAGGTGATGATTCCAGAGGCTTGAAGAGTCCTGCACGCGTTGTGGCTGAGGTGCGCTGGCGCCCTCATCTTCCATCAATCCGTCGGCTCGGGTGACTTTTGCGTTGGGAAACAAAACTGATTGAGCGACACGTGTCTGGTTTGCATCAGTGTTGCGTTACCGCTGTCAAGTGAGGGGGCCAATGCGTGATGACGGGGGGGAATGAGAGCAGCGTCTGTCCTGCGTGTCCCGCCCCCCCCCATGAACTTTCCCTGACACGCCATGAACTGCCGTGACCTGAGCTGCTGCTTTCTAGGAAAAAGAACCAATGTTGTTGACAACATGAGTGCCGGTGCAGTGTTTGTTTCTGTGTAGTTAGCTGAGATGGATGGATGGATGGATGGATGGATTTTCAAATGGAAGTGTACACGCTAAAAAATGTCACCGTAAATTAACGGTATTGTTGTATTGCATGTATACAATAATAAAAAAATGAATCATTAGGAACAAGGTAAACTAACAAACAAATACGCTATGGAACACTTTCAATTGACCGCAGCAAACGGCTGGCGTCCTTAATCCAGAGCCTCTGTAAAACAAACCAAAATAAAATATTTAAAAACACTGCCATTGGTAAAATAGTCAAATTACAAAGTTGAGGACGACAACAAGATGTAAGGAAGGAGAATGTCAATCATGCTGGCAAATAACACTTTCCAACGTTACTTGGAGAGACGAGCCAATGAGAAACTCCCATGTTGAACAGCTCAGGTGTTCTGGATGAACTGAGATTACGTCTGACATTGCGTGCAGGAGCAGTCGGTCACGATTGACACTCAAATGACTTTTAGGCAATGAACACTTTGAATAATACAAATATTTATAATCTGTACATTCCAGCCACTGAAACGATAGCGAAGGTGGTGCATGGGATAGGGAGGGTGTGCTGTGCAGCACAAGGTTGGCGGTTTGAATCCTGGCTGCTCCCTGTGCCAAGTCGAAGTGTCCCAGAGCAAGACACCTAATCCCCAATTACTCCACATGAATTATGTCAAACCATGGGCGTTTTGGATAAAAGTGACAGCTGCATGTATAGGCATGTCCTGTAAGTCAAAGTCATCTCATTATGATGACTTACAGGACCTGTTTTTCAGTGGCTGACATGGGCTTCCATACATGAACCTACAACGGATGTAGATGGGTTGTGATTCACTGCACTTGTATGTGTATTTCCACCACTTCATAAAATATATGTAACATGCAGTTGAAATACGGCCGTCTGCTATTATTGTAAATTGACAACTTTAACTGTTTATTCATGACATTGGCCGTTAATTTACAAGCAAGGGATGGAAATTTAACTGTATCTTACAGTTATTATGACATACTGTAAGATACCGTTGCACCGTAAATTTACAGCAATTTGTTTCAGTGTACTGAGGACAAATGCAGAGAGGTCATCAGGAATTACTTTCTTTGTCCAGGGACAAAGACAGTATGAATGTAGGGACAAAGACCGTATGAATGTAGGGACAAAGACAGTATGAATGTAGGGACAAAGACAGTATGAATGCAGGGACAAAGACAGTATGAATGTAGGGACAAAGACCGTATGAATGCAGGGACAAAGACAATATGAATGCAGGGACAAAGACAGTATGAATGCAGGGACAAAGACAGTATGAATGTAGGGACAAAGACAGTATGAATGTACATACAAGCAGACATGGGAAACTCCTCCGTCAACTCAACATGTTCGCTTCGTCAGAAGTAATTTGCAAAGGCGTTTCCTAGTAGATTCATGTGACTTACTTGTGAAACTTGTGTAGTCGTGAATGGCGTCAAACCAGCGTGTTTGTGTACCCGACATGTTCTGTGACAGTCAGAACACGTATACAAATAGCTTCCCAGCTTAATAAGCAGCTGTTGTGTTGTGTCTCCCTCTTTTACTGGTTTAGGGCTCTTTGTGATTTTCCAGCAGCACTGGCCACTCAGTGCACGCTAATGGGTAAATGTGATTACGGCCGTCCTCGTGCGTTGAAATTAGGGTTGTGTGTCCACCTGAGAGGGCTGACTGTGCCTGTCAGGGCTCAGATGTCAGACCAGAAGCCGGCTGCTGGATGGTTAGCCCGCTTCCCTGCTTCAGACTTCCACTCTGTCTCTTTGTGCGGAGCTCCGTCCCTGCTGCAGGCGAGGCGCCTTTGAGTCCCGATGCCACTGCAGCTCATTTCCCCCCAAAAAACACCCGACTTATGTAAACCAGCACAAACATACATGACATTTGACATCCATATTCAACTCATATTGAGCATTAAGCAGTGAAGGGCTGCTGAGAAGGGCCCGGGGAGCAACTCTGACATGCATACAGATGGAAGCCCGGTACCCTGACCCACTCCACCCACCGCCGCTGTCTTTTCCCATCCGTCCTCAATCCCTTTTGTTTTTTGGCCTTGCACTGTCCCTCCTCGTCCAGTCCGTCACTTTTTACTCTGTCACTCCTTTGAAGAGAGACAGGCGGCTGTGAAGATGAAAAAAACGAGGGTACTCTATGCTGTTTCCATGGAAACTGCCTCTCGGAGCCGAGCCGGTGCCCTACCACAGACATGCGTGCTTCCTCCCTCTCTCCTTTGCTCTCGTTCTCCCCCCACTTGCCTTGCTTGGATTAAAGCCTACTTCCGATGAGGCACAGAGGCACGGAACAAACAAGGAGAAGAGAGGGGAGGGCGGTGTTTCATAACCCTCTGAGACAAAAAGAAACGTGCCTCCCTTAGTGATGAATCGTTATTGCTGATGGCAGATATTAATGACATGTTGTATTGCACACAGTGGTGCGACCAAAGGAAACACACAGTGTGTTCCTGGAAGGTCCCCCCCCCACACACTCTGTGGAGGGGGTCTCGGCCGCTGGGTCGACGGCCGGTAATTGTGTTTAATGGTCCTGAGCGGGAAATTAATGCATTTGCATGGCTCCACTGCCTCGCTCTGTGCCACAGTCCCTATTAATCTGCCAATTAATCTGATTTCATCAGACGTCTCAATAGGGCACCCAATTTGCCACGAACCCAATTTTGTATTATTCGATTTGTACTCACTTTTATGTGCGTGTGCGTCCACGAAGGTCTTTTTGATTATTGAATGATGTGGATCGTATACAGTCTGGTTGGAAAAGTGAAAAGGTTAAATGGGCGGTTTGCAGATGATGGTCGCTGTGAACACATGAACTGGCTGCAGGTGGATGCGTTGTGTCATGCAACCCAGATGGATGTTAGGTGAAGGGGTGGAGGAGGGGGGGCATCATCGCCCATGTGCGTTACCTTGATGTGAGTCGGTGCTGGAGGAGTAGTTAGCCCTTAAGGGTCATGTAGACCTTGGATAAAGCTCAAGGTTCTGGAGAATTGTCTGGGGAGACACGGCCGTTATTCTATAATAACGTAATCTGAACCCACTGGGAATATTTTCACACATTATGCGTCTTGCTTTTATAAAAGGTCACAAAAGAAGTGTTTCAGGGTAAAAATGGTCTTTTTCATCTGTGAGGGAAATAAAAAAAATCTCCCGGGTCACAAAAAAAATGTATTTAATAGTCATTTATTACATTGTGGTGGACAATGCACTGTATTAACTTCATCAAGCAGTGTTCAACCATCTTCATCATTCACTCACAGGGAATGTCAAGTTTTTAGGGGCTTCAGAAGGCTTTTAATTCCCCACTTAGACGTGAAGCAGTCACACAGGGAAAGATCCTGCGTGGGGAGGCACAGCCTCGGTTATTAGACAACAATGACATTTTCCAACAATGGATTTTTATTTGTACCAAGCGCACATTAAAGTACCGAGCCCACGTAAGCTTATAAGCTCATAAGACATTAAGTATACATTGAGAAGTGGTGAAACAAGTCTTGTCAGAGTGATGTCGATTATTACACATGACTCAAATGGTTACACAATACTTTTCTGAACGCTACAAACAGACCTTCATCATCATGTAAGCAGAATTTAGAGCTGTGCATTGACGAGTACAGTGCTTAAGTCAACATAGATGATGCAGCAGTGATATAAAATCCATTAAAGGGGCAATGAGCGGCGACACTAAGTTATGTCTCTTGGCAGCAAACAAGCTCCACGGCTGTTAAGGTGCCAGTAGATGGATTAGGTGGCATTTTGAACATCATTCATTAATACCTTTGTGGGGACCTACAGACACACCTGGCTGCACTCTGCCTCCACATGACCTACGCATTTGTTTCCTTGTGCTAGTTAGTAATAATGCCAGAATTACACAAATCAAAGACAATTAAGGTGTGAGCCAACATATTACAAGGGATGTAAATCACCATTTTTATTACATTGTGATGGAATATGATTTCATTACTAACGACTATATAAAGACTTAGAAGCGTTCATACCCACTCATGACAGATACTTCTCTTGGCTGAACACCTTTGCGGCTGAAGGAATGTCTACAGCCCGACAGTCGTGCCCACGGTCTAATTCACTAATTCCTTCTCTTTGGTAAACGTCCTCCCGGAGCTTGTCTGGCTTAAATAGATGATCATTATCTGGCTCAGTGAGGTATTTTCTAATTAAAGTATATGTCTTGGCTGGCAAGGTGAATTATTCCTGTAAAAACTGTGTTGTATCAAGCGGCTGTAGCTTTCAGAATTTTTAATGTAATTGTGATGCCGGCATCCACATCGGTATTATTTGGGGGGGAAGTCACTTCCTGCTGTCATCTCGGCTCTTTTGAGGCAGAAAGAGAACATGCATTAACGCGTTTGACATGAAGAGCTCTAAGCCCCTCGGTTTGTCGTCCCCCTCTTCAGATTGGTGTTACTCTACTGACAAGAGAGTGAGGCCACGAGTCCGGAGGTGACGAGAGCGAGATAGGAGGCCTCCCAACAGCAGGGGGCAGCAGCAAGCATGCAGGACTCAGCCTCGGACGGCAAGATGGCCAAACAGGTCGGCGACTAACTGTTAGAACTAATTAAGCATGTTAAAAAATACATAAATATTGCAAAACTTGGTCTGAGCCTCTTTATTTCAAAGGAGTCTACTATACTACATCCATTGCTGTTATTCAGTTGATAGTCGTATAGCTGGAAGTCAACGGTTGAAATGCACTTATTGTAAGTCGCTTTGGATAAAAGCGTCAGCTAAATGACATGTAATGTGATTCAAAGGGCAACACAGTTTCATTCAGATCTATTTAAGGCACAATGCTGACTACACCCTTGAGTTAAGGTGTCCTGATACGTCAACGTATTCAAACCCTTTGAGATGTCCACTCATGTGTGCATAACTGTCATTTGACTTCCTCTTTTTTATACGTATATTAAGGAACACAACTCCAAGCATCTTGATGAACCCAGAGAAACCGACGACATGTCAGAGAAGACGTCTCCAAACAAGAACCTCAAGTCTCCCCAGAAAGGCTCCAAACGACTGAAAACTGCCCCCTTCAAAATGACCCTGCTGGACTCCTCCGAGTTTGAAGGCGAAATTGAGGTAAGTGCGACGAAAAAGACAGAAACAACATGCTTTTATAGCATTATCCTTAACATGCTTTAAACAAGCCCTTGAAAGGCAGTTCTTTGATTTGATTTTTTCCCTCTGTAGTTACTGTCCTCTGTGGGCAGTCGCATGTGTTGTGTGTTGCTGCAGCGAGCATGATGAAGCAGGGACAGAATAAAAGAGAGCCGACGCCATGCTGAGGGCTCAGCAGGGGTGAAGCCTAAGCAATGTCACACATTTCTGTAATGCACATGGTTGAGCGGAAATAGTGATCATAAAAGTCTCTGTTCATTGCTGCTGCAGTGCAATGAAAGGACATGTCCCGCTTGTTTGTATAGAAAAATGAAGGCATGCATAAACAACGGAGAGAAGAGATCGATACAAGAGCATCGCCTCACATAAACGCGTGGGAGGTTATTTAGCTATAACGACTAGCAAGCGGCACAAGGCGTCTTGCTGAAAAACAAAAGTATCTTCTGCAGGATTTTGGTGTAAAAGTCCTTTCCAGGTACTTGACTATGGATATGATGGCGCAGCATCATTATACCTCAGCTTTTCCTTCCCACTCTTTGAGTCTTTTATCCAGACACCAAAACGTCACGACGCGTCCGTCTTGCTCTGCTCCCGAGATGACGGAGTTGAATCAGGGGCCAACGGTCACGGCCCAGTAACCTGCCTCTCTTCAGCGGGGACAGCGCATACTGGGATGGAGATGTCCTGCGCGTGTTACAGATACTGCATCACCAGAAGGTCGAGGCGGGCTCACTCGGGGCCAATTGTATCACTCTCTCTCGCGCACATAATGTGCACTTAAGAGCCAGGAAAAGAGGAAGAAAGGAGAACCCTCGCTGAGCCCTCTGGTTCCTGGTTCCTGGTTCCCGCCCGAGCATCTTGGGCCCCGATACTGTCCAGAGGCCTTCGGCTTGAGCACCACTGTGTCCGTGCTGGTGTGAAAATGAGTTCATACATTCCTCACCCTTGATGTCACTCTGCTGTTATTGACTAAAAGGAAGGCGTTTCCTTTTCTTCTTTTTTTGCTACACAATAGATTTAATTAGCAAACAAAAAATATATTAGACTGTAGCCAATGTCACCATATAAGAGCTGGCTTTGTTGCAACGGTCTGTCCTCCGCTGTGTTTCAGCACCCGGGACAGCGCCGCCGTGACACCACACACACCGCGAACCCCAAAACAAGCACTAGAACTATAGTTAGTTATAATAACTAATTATGATTACAGTTGATACGTAAGTAATAAAATACAGTTCATATTCCTCGTTTCATGGTCTATTTGGCATTGTTTGGGTTAGGCATGAGCCTAATTTTAAAAAACAAGATATAAGAGATGCATTCCAAAACTAATTGGTACTATGAATGTCACGCAACAGTGGAAGCTCCGAAGCATCCAGGTCACGTCCTCTAATCTGGAGCCACTTTCAGGAGGAAAAGCTTTTTATTTTGGCTTCACAACAAAGTGATAAGTGGCCCATGAGTTTTTTTCTTCCACCACCTGTCCTGTTCATGCTTAACGTTTGGTTACTTTAAGGCAACAAAAGCTTCTTGCGACTGGGAGATGTCCGAGTTGTACGCCTGCATGTCAGCCAGAGGTAAACAAAGCCTAAAATAGTCTGACTTCCTTGAGTCTCGCTGTGAATTCCTGGAGGTCTGTCGCCACTCTCGACGCTCACTTGTCAGTCAACCAGTTTCTAAAGTCAGACAGTGATTGCATGCTTCCATTCTCTCCTTGGGCGCGCCTGGCTGGCCACAATGTAATAACAGTCTTAGGCTTCGTTCTTTCACCAGATAGCTGCAGAACAAAATCAAGAAATTCGAGAAAAAAAAAACATCTCACCACGAGTGCTTTTTGAGTGTATCACATAAATTTCCTAATCAGGTTGAGTTGCCCACTGCCTGTCTCAGTATAATTTTATGTACGAATGTCTGAGCGTGTCAACTTTCTGAGTTTTGTTTGTTAGTTTAGAGTTTTGTCCACATCTTTGCCTAATAGACAGCTCATCATACATTATACGGTGGACCTTTGCACAAAACTGTCCAGGACCTCTGTAAAAAAAGACATATTGTTATTCATACTGTCCACTGGTACTTATTCCAAACTTCTGAGCGGTGTTGTGCTCTATTATGTGGAATGAACAAAAAGGCTTCATTCCCCAGACAAAAAGTATTGTTTTGAGATGTACTGATTTGGTAGTGGCATTAAAATCAGGCTACTGAGGGGCACAATACAAGTCTTTAGCATAGGCTGCTAACTGGCTGCTAGGAAATCTACTGTTATTACATTCTTGCAAGCCAGGCGCAACCAAGGAGAAAATAGAAGAGCAATGTTATTATGAGCCACCCGTAGGATACTTATGCACAGTAGGATACACACCATAGGATACTTATGCACAGGTACATGAAACGTTTGTTTTGTGCGTGTTGTGGTGTTCAGGCGAGGGAGGGTTTCTGTGTGTGAATGTGTGAGGTAAGAATATCTGGAGTGTCACGCTTGGATAAACTTCCCTCTCAGCCGTGCAAAAACTGTAAAATATATTGTTGTACTTTTTTGGGCGTCACCACAACAATAGTTGGCGTTATGCTTATGACAGCTGTAGGGTCTCCCCCTACATATAAGCCCGCCCTCGCAACACTAGGAGTTATTGCAGGTGAAGGAAGCACAAAGCAGCTTCTTGTAACCGTGTGTTTTCTTTCAAATGTCCCATTCAAGTTTGGAGAGAGCATCGGACCTCCAGGTCATTGGCAGGCCTGCGCTCACTTGTCTTTAATTGCTGGAATGTCATGCCAGCTCTTGTTCTGAACCTTCCCTGGGCTTCCAGAAGTGGTTAATGACAGTGGTGAGTGAAGACAAGCCACACTTCCCCCCCGGAGGAGGTGCCGCATTCGTGGGTTGATGAAGTCTCTCGCCATAGATGCCTGGTTGCGCCTGGCCGCGGTCCCCCCGGGTAGGAGAGCAGGTGCCACGCCCATATCCGTTCCTCCCACCCAGGTTCCCCGCTCTGCTCGCTGGGCAGTGACCCGCCTGATGCATTGTCAAGCCTGGCTGCCCCCATGTGCAGAGCGGGGCTGTTCCGGGTGTTTCATGCTGCTTAGTTGTCTCATTCTCCCGGTTAGAAACTCTGAGCTCTTTGCAGTACATTTAACTATTTAATTACTTACTTTACGTCGACAAATGCTGCAGTCAGGGACCTACTGACCGACATGACGGGAGCGAATACGCACGCAGTAAGAGGCGCTCCGGCATCCTTTTCCCTCCTATGAGGAGAAAGTGAAACAAGTAAAAATGGCTTTAAGTGGAGATGTTAAGAAACAAGAAAGTCATAATACTGCATCTGTTTCCCTGGCAACAGCTTGCTCCATCTCTCCATCACCTCACAAAGTAATCTGCAGGGGGGAGGCGCTGCGTGTGTGTGTGTGTGTGTGTGTGTGTGTGTAGAGCAGAAGAATAGTGTGGTTCATTGTTACGTACATCTGCCTCGTTCTAAAATGAACACGTGTCAAATGCCTTCGGCTGTGCATGAATCGGCAATTTTTATTCAATATTTCATTAGTCTCATCAAATTGAAGCAAAAACTGTTTTGATGTGAGCATTGAAACAAGGACATTTGGCTGCTAGTGCGGTAAATAACTAATAATTCATTAAATTGCAAACCAATCAATAAGTACTGTGGAATTCAATTACTTGAAATAAGATTAGTGATATTCCTTTTTGTAAAATATAATATGAAGATAATTGGCTTAGTCGCTATATGTTGAATTATTTCCTTCTCTAGCTCACTAGTTTGGTGAAATGTGAGCAAAATTGCTTGTGCATCCATAATAAAACATTCCCTAAAATGGAGAAACATAAACTCGTCACTTGGATGTAATTGAAATCTTTCTGAAATGCTCAATACGAGAGTAATTCTATTCACAGTCCATTTTCACTGTCAAATGTTTGAAGCACAAATGGCTGAGCTGCTTTGATGTGTGCAAAACCAGAGAACAGGAAATATTAGAAAGGAAAGGATGATATTAATGAGCCAAACTTTTCCCAATAAAACGTAGTTAAACCAGTAGCGGATCGTTTTGCACGCATTGTTTTGCTGAAACACAGCAGAGAATTGTTCTTCTGCGTTGTTGTTGACCTTCCCTACCACTGCTGTACACCATAGGTGTCTTTTTTTGTCTTTGCAGAAACACTCCAAAGGACAGACCCTGATGGACATGGTGTGTGAGCACCTCAACTTGCTGGAGAAGGACTACTTTGCCCTGACCTTTGCCGACGCGGACACCCAGAAGGTCAGTGGACTGTGACCCTCTGTGCACAAACACATTACAGAACAATCTGCACTGCACTCACCTGGTGGCTGGGCCGGCCCTCTAAGGAGGGCACTATCCAGAGATGAATGGAGAATGGGTGTCGACAGTGGTTGGAAGACGAAACATGACTCCTCTACTCTTGTTTGACGGAGAGACGGTTGTTTGAAATCTCTTAGAGGGAAAGCAGCTCCAGTAAAAGGTTCCCTATGAATCTAACACGGCTCTCGGCAATGACAGCGACGCAGCAGCGACGTGTAATAATTGAGTGGTCTTTGGCCTTCGCTGGTCTCAGATGGATTCGGGGGGACGATAAAGTCCTGCGGCTCATTAGCGTCTTTAGCAGCCTGATTAAACACTGAAGTAGCACATGTGTGTTTGTGCCTGTGTGCTTGGGTATGTGCGCGTACACGAAGACCCGGTTCAAATTGCCAGCTGCTCGCGGCCACAGGGTCGCATTGTGATGCGTCAAGCTCCTGTTTCCACACTGACTGACGTGAGACCAGATGCCAAAGTGACAGTCGGCATAATAGGCGGGCGCTGCAGGAGGCATTCAGGTTAGAGAGGATTGCAGTCGCCTCTCGGCACCAAAGGCAGTACGCAGCTGTGTGACATGCGCCACACACCTGTTTGAGTGCGTACATGCAAGGATCAGAGTGACTAATTAAATTTACACCTCCGTTCAGTCCTGTTGTTCAGTCGTTTTTTAATATGTTGTGTTAGCAGCAGTAGCACTGGATTGCGTTGCCGGCCGGTCGGTCCAACTACTGCATGCATTTCCATGGCATTTTATAAAAGGCCTGCATGGTCCCCGGAAGACTAATGGGTCTTACTTTGTTTATCCCCCAGATTTTGACTAATGTCTCAAAAACTAGTATTTTGGTCCCGATATCCATAATGGCGTTGAATTCCCTCGTCTCCATTATCAGATCTAAGAGAGTGACAAACATTTTAATGTCCATCACATTGATTTATGACCAAATAGCTTCTAAACTAATGACATTTCCCATCAACCTCAGATGCACTTTGTGCTCATTGCTAATTAGCGAACAGTCCGCAACACGCTAAACGGAGACGGTGAAGGTGGTAAACATCATGCCTGCCAGACATGTTAGCCTTCGCTTTGTTAGCATGTTGACAGGTTAGCATCACGGTCATGCTGTGCCAAAGTCCCAGAGCTGCTATCGGGACTGCAGATGATTAAAAGGTCCCACATTGTAGAACGTAGGATTTCCTGTTATATAAATACTGTAGAAGTATAAAAGTGCTCAATCCACAGAGAAATACACACAGAAACTTTTCCCATGAATAAGCCATCAGGACAACTAAAGTCAGTGGTAGAAACTGAACCCAAATTGGTGGACTTGAGCCAGTTCGTATTCTTTTTTTTATTCGTTAGTAAATCAAATACGTATTTTGTTGTGAAGAAATATTAAAACTGTGCTCTGAGGTTGGAATTCTAAGAATGTATGAATGCAGAGATAATTAAACCTCTGAGACGGAAACAAAGAGCTTCTGAGGATTTTTCTTTTTTAGGTAAGTCAACTTGGTATCAGCGAGTTATCCCGCCGACCTTAAAGTGACGCTACTTAACTCACACATGGAGGATGAAGGGTATTTGAAAAATAATGCCTGTATCCGCCCCTTTGGATCCACTCCTATATTTAATACTACATGCTTCCACCAAGTTTAATGAAAATGGAGCCGGTATTCCCCCCCCCCCCCTCCCTGTATTCCTGCTAACAAACAAACAGACCCACAAACCGAAGGGAAACAACACACAGTAAGTTGTGCGGAGGTAGCAACAGGATGAATATTCAGCGGTAGAGTGAGCACGTAGGGGGGCAACAGTAGAGATAAGAGTTCATGTGGGAGGTGTTTCATAACTCTGTGTGCAGCTGTGCATCTAAAAAGCTTCTGTTGGAGCCAGTCAGCGTGCACCACAGCAGCACTGCCTCCCTTCACGCACACACATGCAATGTCATCAAATAGGCGACGGGCTGCTGGTGATTTTTTGTGGTTGTGTGAAACAATGAAGAAGCAGATGCTCGAGTTAAATGTGCTCAGCAGGGGAGGGCGCAGCACCTTTTATTTAACCATATGGAAAGGCTTTCATTAGGAACACTCGACACCATCGTAGATCAAAACGTGACACCGGGGTTTGCATCAAGCACGCTTCCGCTTTGCCCTCTGAGCTCTGCCTTCTGTCTTTCAGAACTGGTTGGACCCCTCCAAGGAGATCAAGAAGCAGATGCGCAGTGAGTGTCTTTTCCGTGAGAAAGCAGAGTCGTCGGCATACGGAGCGATTCGGTGTGCACTTTTCCTCAGACGGACCCGTTGTCGTTAACCTTCCAGATCTTTCTCCTCAGACTCTCCATGGCACTTTGCCTTTTCTGTCAAGTTCTACCCTCCAGACCCCTCGCAGCTCACCGAGGACATCACCAGGTAGGACCCCACGCGCTCCATGTCAACTGCCCTCACTCCTCTGGCTGTGCCGTCGCAAATTCCTCAGAGTTAATCAGAGGAGAAGTTTTTTTATTTTCTGAAAACACCAGTGTTTACATACAAGTATTGTAGCAATTCCCATAGTTTATTGATTCCAGCTGTCAAAGCAATGCAAATCCCCCTCTCCTTTTGGAGGATTAGACCTAAAATGCTACTAAGAGCCGTGGATTAACAGCGCTGAATACCTGCTGGAGCTTGCTTTGGTTCAGGCTTGTTTGACTGCAGACGCCCTCCTCCCCCCCCCTCTTGTCTCCTTTGACAGGTACTACCTGTGTCTGCAGCTGAGGGATGACATGCTGTCCGGGCGGCTGCCGTGCTCGTTCGTCACTCACGCCCTCCTGGGCTCCTACAGCGTCCAGGCCGAGCTGGGCGACTACGACCAGGACGACCACGGCGCCGACTACGTCAGCGATTTCCGCTTCGCCCCCAATCAGACTCGCGAGCTGGAGGAGCGGGTGATGGAGCTCCACCGAAACTACAAGTACGTGGAAACAGTGTTACCGCAAACCTCTGGGTATAAATTACCCTCCCCAATATGTCTGATGGATGACGTCTCATTGCTGCACCCTCTGTCAATGAATTGGCACATCTTTTTGGCATATGCCCAAACAGAATGCTTGGGGGGGAAGAATCGGGAGAATCATGCAAGATTAAGGGATTATTTTTTAAGGCCTGTTGATGTCGGTTACAGATATTATTGTTGTCCTGCCCACAGGGGGATGACTCCAGCAGAGGCTGAAATTAACTTCCTGGAGAACGCAAAGAAACTGTCCATGTACGGAGTGGACCTCCATCATGCTAAGGTTGTCCAGAGTGATTTTAATAAGCGTTACAGCAGGTTCCAAGGATGCCCACTGTTACATCCTGTGTGCCTCTTTGCTTTGCCTTGTTCTCTGTAGGACTCTGAAGGGATTGACATCATGCTGGGTGTCTGTGCCAACGGCCTGCTGATCTACCGCGACAGACTGAGGATCAACCGGTTTGCCTGGCCAAAGATCCTTAAGATCTCCTATAAGAGGAGCAACTTCTACATCAAGATACGGCCCGGAGAGGTACGTCATCCATTTACTTGGTCATGGGCAGTGCTACACAGCAAAAACCGTTCGGAAGTGTGACACATTATCTCTGATAAAGTCCCAGTGGTATCTACATTTTCTCAAATCTTTCACAGAAAGCTTGCGTTAACAACTGGGACGTTTCCTCTTACTGTTCGGTGGCGCAGTCAGTGTTTACGAAAAGAAGAGGGGAGTTGGGGGGGGGGACAGCGGGTTCACCTTGTCTCCTTCGGGATTCAAACCCAAAACGGCAGGCTCGGGCTCTGCTGCATGTCTTCCTGCATGTTCCTGTCCCCTGCTTTGTTCTCCAGAGCAGCATGGATGGGGAATATGGACGTAATAATGGTTTTGCTCCTCACATCTTTACCTTTTTCTAAAAATGTTAAACTATTCCTCTTAAGCTCAGATTTTAAATAGTTGGTAATAGTTGATGTTGTATCACAAATCCCCTTGTTGAAAGTCACCAGAGATCAACATGCCTTCAGTTAGCAGAGGGCCTTAAAATCGTCCTCTTTAGACCTACAACGTTTGCTCCCTCGAGTCGGGGTGTATTTTCCCTCCTCATTGTGTCGTGCAGCGCTGCAACTTCTCCTCCGTGCTGAGGATAAGCCAGTGTGACAGGCTGTCACCTTTCTTCACGCTGTCCTTACTCCTACTATCCTCTCTCCCCTTCAGTATGAGCAGTTTGAAAGCACAATCGGTTTTAAGCTTCCAAACCACAGAGCTGCCAAGAGGCTGTGGAAGGTCTGCATCGAGCATCACACCTTCTTCAGGTAAGAATCCATCTCCTCTCCTGGTTGGAAAGGTTTGCTCGCAAACAAAGCATTGGCAATCAGACCGGCTTCTTTTTTTAACGCGTGTTTTTAATCCGAAGGCTGGTGTCTCCAGAGCCTCCTCCCAAAGGGTTCTTGGTGATGGGATCAAAGTTTCGATACAGCGGAAGGACGCAAGCTCAAACCAGACAGGCCAGCGCTCTTATAGACCGGCCCGCTCCGCACTTTGAGCGTTCCACCAGCAAGAGGTACCTGCTCTCCAGGAGCTTGGACGGAGGTGAGGGTCACAGCAGCTGCCAGATAGAGCTGTTTTTTGGAGCGTCTACGGAACGTGTGTTGAGTTCCAAAGTTGTAGCCGTTTAAAGGCCCAGAGAAAATATTGGTGGGGAGAGTTAGACCCGGTTTACACCTGGTACTGACTTGCGTCTGAGTGAGCGCTCTAAGTGCGTCAGTTCACATCTGGCACCATAGAAATGAAAGCGAGTAGAACTGACATTGAACCCTTTTTTGTGGTTGTTTGAAGTGTGCAAACGAATGTCGGTGGGGCCTAAAACGTTTGCCGGGGGGAGGAGAGGGGACAGCAGCTCCGGCGACGGACGGCTGGACAGTTAGCTAATTAGCTTGTCCTCCTCTGAAGCAGCTGGTAGTGAGGTCACTGTTCAGTCTCATTTTCTGTAACCAGCGTGCCATTAAAGCATGGTGGAATTAGCATAAAGCAGCTCTTACGTGTCTTATTTCTATGCGATCTAATGTTATGTTACACGGGTTAGAAAAAGACCACCTCCAAATGTGGAGAGTGATCGGATCTCTATTTATCACATTATCACACAAGACCTGTTCACTAGTGATCACTTCAAGACGCTTGTTAATGCCAGGATATAGCGATGTTAGCGTAGCATGCAAGCTGGAAGGGAAAACGTTAACTTCCTGCCCCTGTGAAGCCAACTAATCTACAAGTGAGAACTCACTGCTCCAGATGAAGAAGTCCCCCCCCCCTCGTTTCAACACCTGACACTTCTTGTACATTCCAGCAGAGTTCACGCGGCCGGTTTCAGGCACGTGCGAGAACCACGACGGCCTGTCCCACCGGAGCGCCGGTGAACAGCGGCGCCTCCACAGCTTCTCCGTGGACGAGCAGGAGACCGAGCTGGAGCCCAGTTTGGAGCTGGACGAGGAGGACAGGGACCAGGAGCGGGGCGAGGACACGGGACAAGACTACGACGGCGACGTCACTCCAAGCAGAAAGAAGGAGATCATGGTAGTGAAACATCATTTTTTAGGATGTGGTCCAAATGTAATGCGATGGAGACATGGGAGGCAGAGTGGCTTTAGTGGGCTCCAGCGGGGGATTTTGCATGTTCCAATGTTCTTCATCCTTCACCCAACTCCACGTGAGGCTTTTACGTTGCTCGTGGTCATTTTTTCTTTTGACCCTTTCTACTAATGCTGACAAACGTAAGCCTAGCTAACGTGCTATTTCTTTCTTTAACTCTTGCTGGCGACCAGGAGGAGGCTGGCTCACCAGTCGACAGTAAACAGGAGGTATTTGGTGTCTGGTGATCTCTGTTTGTCTGTCTTTATTCGTCTTCAGTACATCTGTCGTAATCGCGTCTATCGCGTCTATTCATCGGAAAAAACGCTATAATTTGCACGATATGAGCGATGTGTTTGACATCGTTAAGCATCCCAGCAAACAGCGATCGGTTCAGTGAGCAAAAAGTTAAAAAAACATATCTTATCTATAACTAAAGCAAAAAGAATATTATTTATAAGTAATTTGAAATCAATGTTGTATTTGATTCTAAAATGTCTACTGGGATGTATTTCCAAAGTTGCCTTGGCATGATAAGCAGCGGCCAAGTGTGGCCCTCCTGCCTGTCCGTCTGCTCGTGCTCTGACTGATTGACCTTCTACCATCCTGTCTCTTCATCTGACCTCGCTCCTGCACTCTCTGACCCCTGCACCTCTCAATTCGTGTGCGCGCCATCTCTCTCAGTCGGACCAGGAGGCCACTCCTCGGCACAAACGGGAGGTACAGGTTCCCGTCTTCGGCCCCTTGTGCTTGTGCCTGTTTTGGTTGTGTGTGCCGCTGTTCCTCCACCCCTCCAGTCTTTGGAGTTGTCTGAACATATTTTGGTTCGCCGGCTCCTTGGATTGAAGGAAACCTTTATCTCATGTTTGTGTCAGAATATCATAGAAAGTTGACACGTGGAATAATCTCTACGTTGTAAAATGCGACTAAGCAGCATGATTATTAGCGAGTGTTGGCAAACAGAGTTATGGAGAATGTTTTTCTTCTGACATTTTCACTTTTTATCAAGAGATTTGTGTTTCATATTCTCTTTATGTTCAGTGAGTGAGCATCTGAGATAGAAATCAAGACTGAATATTTTAAACCTAAAATAAATTAAGAAGTCTCATACTTAAAATAGACTTGCAAGTGCATTGAATTCAGCGATAATGGGGCTGGACCCGCTCCATCGGGTCCCAGGGTAGAGCTGAACCGGCCATGAATGCATTTGTATTCATCTACTGAAGTATTGAATATTCCTCTGTTTTAAAGGTTAGTTTAAAGGTTAAATGTCTCCAAAAGGTTTGGTGAAGATGTACACAATAAAGTACTTGGGTAAATGTACAAATGTCCTCTACAAAAACCACATTTTTAAATACGAATTTTAATTTAATCTAATCAATCTAATTTCAGTCAACGTCACATCAGAGAATACTCAGCTTGCACAAGTCTATTCTGATGTCTGTATGCACTCTTTTCATGCACCTTATTTGCATTGAAATATATCTTTCATGGTGAATTAGAAAAAAGTCACCCGGCATTCAGCCGTAAGTTTTACTGTATTACAGTATTACTGTATTCTGTATTCATTTCTCCCTTCATTACTTCAGTCTTAGTGTCTTGATCTTCTTAAAAGCAAAATCAGTTGGATCTATCGTTGTTCTTGGTTTCCACGGGCTTCAATTGCATCTTCAATGATCATCACGAGCCACAGCACCGACCAGTGGAAGATCAGCTGACCGCCTTCTCCTCTGAACACGCACTGCGTCACATCTCCAGGGCTGCTGTGTTCAAAAGGACCTTGCTAAAGCATGACCGCTTCTTGTTTTTGTCCTTTCTCCTCTTCCTCCTCCAGTTCCTGGACAAGTCGAAGGACGTCATGCTGAAGCACCAGGCCAGCATCAACGAGCTGAAGAGAACCCTCAGGGAGCCCAGCAGCAAGCTGTCGAACCGCGAGAAGCGTCTGTCCTCCGCCTCCCCGAATGGCACGCCGGAGAAGAAGGCTGTGAGTGGGGGGACTCAGGGCAGTGCGGGGGTGGTGGGGGGTCCGCTAAGGTCAACATCTCCAATCCAGCCAACCAATGCATGGCATTCCTTTACGTGACATTCCCAGCTAGCCCGCTGCTGTCAAACTGCTCCTACTGCTGCTTGACCCGAGGCTTTTCTTTAAGAAATGCATCAAATGCGGCTCATTGGGCCTCTCCAGGGGGCACCGCAGTGACAGCAGCGCAGAAGGAAAACATCCTGATGCGACTAGTGATGTTTTTGAGATTTATATGCCAGGGCAGATGAGAAATAATGAAGTAGTTGTTGAGTAGTAATGAGTTACTTATTTTCCCTGGTTGTCCAATAGTGACACAGTTTATCATCTTCATGCCGGAACAAGAAAAGCTCTGGAGTTTTGGTAATGAGCTTTTTGGAGATTGAGATTGTTTGTCCTAGGACAGGATTCCTAGGGTTTCCTAGGCGAGGTGGTAGGCGTCCTACTACTAGCTAATAGTAGTAGGACGCCCGCCCCCTCGCCCACCCAATCCCATCCCTGTGTAGTTACAGTACAAAAAGACTCTGTTGCTTTCAGCTCATCAATAGATTTCTACAAAACAACTGTTGAACTGTTGTGTTGAACTGATACTTTCTGCTTAGCCCCCCGGCCCCCCGGCGAGCTCTAACCGCTGTTCTTCCTCTTCTTTCAAACCGTCTCCTCTGCCTCGCGTCGGCCAGTCGGCGCTTCAGGACCCTGTTAACAATCTGTCTGTTGAGGGGTTTGTCCAGAAGACAATGGCGGCTTCGCCTGAGGTTGAGCTCTTCTATGATACGTACAGCTCACAGCATTTCTGTTTGTCACTCATGTGTCTATTTAAGAAATACCACCACATGTTCACTTAGAGCTGCAATGATTGTCGACCAAAAAGAAACGTAATAGTTTGATTGTTAAAGTAATTTTGAAGGCAAACAGTTTGATCTCAGATATTTTCTCTGTTTTATAACATTAAACAAAAAACGAGACAATTAAAGACATCCCCTTGAGACGCAGGGATGGACATTTAACGCTATTTTCTGGTATTTTAATTGAGAATATCTGCAGATTAATCGAAAAACTACAAGAAATGTTTTAGTTGCATGCCCTCTTATACTCCATATACCATGTGTGTGTTGTTCCCTTTACTGTGATTCAGATGATTTCATAGATTTCATTTTTTGCAGCAGCACCTATGCTTTGCATGTCTAACTGTGTTTAATCTATACCAACATGTAGGGCTCTGAGGAGTGGGTATTGATTGAAAAACAAGAAACGTATCAGCAGGACCATGACTGGAGGACAGAAGACAAGAACCTCTTGGTAGCATGTGAATCGTCATGGGAGAAAAGGGAGCTGGAGAGAGAGATAGACATAGCCAAGATGATACACAAAGATGTAACAGGGTATGACAGAAAAGAAATGAAAAGCCATAACGATGATTTTACATCAATAGATTCGCCCAGAGAGGCAGGCGAGTACTCTGAGCCACGGGCGGCTAACAGAAGTCGTTTCGTGATTCAATTGACAAAGAATTCAGATTCCTTTCAAGACAAATCTCAAAGCAAACCATCTCACGCCTCGACCCCCGAGGCAAACGTTGATGCGCCCGCCGCCTCCCGGCAGGTGAAGGACCGCGCGGCTTCCAAACCACGCAAAAAGAGGAGACCCCAGAGCTTAAACCTGGGGAGGCCTGCCGACCTCATCTACGCAAAAGGAAGCGGCGATTCCACTGAAGAGAACGAGGGTTCAGAGTCCGACAAAAGCCCGGAAGAAAACTCAAAAATTCCATGTGATTCATCATCTTCAGAGAAGGTGAAAGATGATGAGCGTTTAAGAAAGGATCATTCGATCAAGGTCTTTAAAGAAGAGGATACGTCGATAGGTGAGAGCAGGGTGGTCACCACTCTAGAAACAGAGCGGGCGAAGAGAACAGCGAGCCAGGTTGAGCCCGCCGATGTGGATTCAGACTCAGTGAACGGACTCGTCAAGATAGAACGCGATAGTTCGTCTGTGGCCGTCAAGGTGGACAGTGCGAAGAAGGTGCAAGGACGGGGCCTCATCGACAACAGAGAGCTAGCCGAGGTTAAGCTGCGACAGGTGCGGACGCACGAGAGGAAGGTCAGCGGTTCCGGGGGGGAGGACGCGGAGGGTTTCACGGGGGGACAGAGGACACTCGTCCACCGTCTCACCGGCAGCAGCTGCCAGTCGGAGATCTCCAGGATCGTCCCTCTCAAGCCAGAGCGGTCCAAAAGCGTAGCGAGTAAGGACGAAAGGGACGGCCCGGGACAGGACGAGCTCGCGTGGGCCCACCGGAGAGACTACCGCTGGTCGGTGGGCTCTCCAGAGGGATCCTCGGACCTCTCCTGGGCAGAGGCCGGTGCCGCCGGCCCCCGTCCGGCGTTTGCGGAAGATCTGGAGGGTCTCGCCAAAACGGATCGTCCCGATGGTGGTCACCAGTCCGCGAGAAGACCCGCCGAGGGTCAGTCGTTCGGGTCTAAGGTCTTGCCGCTTTCCAAAACGGCTCCTCCGGCCCCGCCTGTGAAAACACAGAAGGCCCGGGAGTCTGGGCTGATGCTGCGGAACAGCCGAAATGCCAACAGGGAGCCAAGCCGGGACGCGGCGGCCAAGAAGAGACACTCGGTAACTCTGCTTGGCATCCGCTAGTCACTCATTGGAGTTAAAGCATCGCATGAGCTTCAGACAGACTCGCACGCCATTTTTTTTTTTCTTCTTTTAATCTCCCTGCGTTTTCAGTGACTTGAAACACTCATCCATCTTACCTGTCTGTGCCTGTTTGAAGAGCAGGCGGAGCGGTACCTTTTGCTCCGTCAATTCTGTCAAAAAAAACTAAAAGTTTGGACGTTTTTCAATACGGCAACCCAATTCCCCCCCTCCCATTGCTCACCACAAATGCAGCACACTGTCTGGCAAATCTGTACAGCTCAACGCTGGCTGCGAAATTTAGATCCAAAAACAAACCAAAGGAAATTTTCTCCACCTCTTTCTTGTGAGCCTCAGATTTCTTCCAAGCTCCTGTCAAGGTGGCAGAAACACTCATCATCACTGGTCATTTTAATTTTTTTGCCATTTTCAAAAATCTGGTGCTAAGAAAACAAACATTTGTTGGATTCTAAAATTAAAAAAATACTGCCATCCAATACTTTCCGACAGGCATCTGCTATTTCCCAAAACGAGAAATAAACAGTGTTTTAGAGTTGGTTGGCGTTATTGAAAACTTTGCTAAATACCCCTCGATCCTTCCGATCAGAAGCATCACTCTCCTCTGGTTAGAAAACTTCGAGGTGATGTAAACATATTGCCCCCCCCCCCACTGATACACCCCAGCAGGCAGTGAGCCCCCAGACGCCACAGCTCAGTGCCTGACACAGTCACATTTGCTGCTTTCATTTCCACTGCTGGTATCATTAGGAGCTTGCAACGCGTTTGTCCCGGCAGGGAATGAAATGGAGTTTGATGTGAGTAGACATGACAGCTCTCATCATTTCCCACCTTTTCATCCAAGCCTTTTGCAATGCAGCGGATTAAACGGGAGCGCTAGGAGGCGTAGCGTAGCTCAAAGCGCGCCAACGACCTCGCTGGCGAGCGACGCTCGTGCCCGGAATCCCGTTGATCCCGGGGAGCGTGGGAAAGCATAAGGCGCTCCTTCAAACGAGTGCACGCCATTCGCACGGCCATTTTGACAGGCCTTGAATTGCAACCGCGGCACCTTCCATTGGACATTCAACACTACTGTTTGACGAGAGGGTTGAATGTCAGTTGGTCAATGCTGCTCTCCTGAGAAGCTGCTCATTATTCAATGCATGATTCTCTCTCGTCCTTCCCTCTGCTCATTCTAACCAACACAACTGGCTGGAGGTGTTGTTTCTGTTGCACTACGCTCACCTCTTTTTTTTGTCCTTGCAACTGCGCTTGAAATTTGTGCCTGAATCCATTTGGACCTGACTGGATCTGAACAGACCCGGTGGACTTCGATTGGGTCCGGCTGAGTTTCTCACCTAAACTGTTTTTTTTTTTTAGGTTTTTGGTAATTCAAAAGAAAACAAAAAACTAAAGAAAAGAATTATTAGCTACATTGAAATGTCTAATCTAAATATTTGGAGCAGTAAACTGACCGCCTGAGCTCCTGATGTTCAGGCTCCAGTCACGCTCTGTCCTAAGCTTCTGTGTTTGTGTCCGTCTGTCTGTCCGCCGGCCCCGTCAGCTGGTGCTAACCTTCGGATGCTCTCTCTGCTCTTTCCTCCGCTCCCCCTCCTCCCCCTGCAGGAGCCGCTCTCCACTCCCGCCATTTATGAAGCGCCGTTTGCTGATTTCAAGGTTATTCATTCGCATTTAAACCCACCTGCACACTCATTCCTCTCCCACCTGACTGCACCGGTTTGTGTATGAAAAAAAGGAGAAAAGAAAGCGCCATAAAGAATGAAATGCGTCATTTTTCACCGGGTTATTCAGTCAAATAGAACAGAATGTGTGAGTAGATGAGCAAATCTTTCATATGCGATCTAATTAGCGAGTGTTGGTGTAATTAATATGAGTGGCACTACTTTAAATTAGCTGCCTCAGGAGCTTCGTTGTAATTTAATGGGTCTAAACCTCTGGAGCCGGTGACCCCTAAACAGCCTGGTTCGGGTGGTTTTGTATGAGCTATTTCTTTATAGTCAGTGTATAATATGCAGAGGAGGACGTTTGACGCCCCCACAGAACGCAACATGGGAGCTGAGCGTGCTGTGTGCATGTTGGCACATACACATTACGTCATACAATAAAGTTATTTTATAATACGGAATTGCACTGTTAATTAATCAACACAGAATGCACTGATCTAAAAACGTGTTTACACGCTTTAATGTTCAAAAAAACATCAGAATATCCCTGTCTAACTCAATTACAAATATAGTGTTTTTTCACAGCTGCTGTTATTGAAGGAAGGTTTTACTTCTGATGTTCGATCATTTTACTGTATATTCGGGATACATTGCGTGTACAGTGACTCTGGCTCAGGGTCTGTAATCCCAGCAAACACAGAAGCCTCCATCCTCATTCCATGTCGTCCCCGTCAACCCCCCCCGCCCCCCCCTCGTCGGCGGCTTTGTAACCTTCGAGTGGTGCTCCTCTCCCTTCTGTAATCGTCCCAGAAGGAGCTCGGGGACAGGAGGCCTCAGCCTCGCCTCGCCTCCGAGGAGGAGGAGGAGGAGGAGGAGCAGGAGCGCGACACTCTGGCCTGCATGAGAGAAACCCAGCTGGGCATCGAGCGCAAGTGCTCCAGCATGACGGTCAGCTCCACGTCCAGCCTGGAGGCCGAGGTCGACTTCACCGTGGTCATGGACCTCCACTCCGGCTCCGAGGACTTCTCCAGGTGCATGTCGGAGATGGGAGGGAGGGAGCGACAGCCCGAGGTGGGCCGGGAGGACTTTGAGGAGACCTCCCGGTTCTACTCTGCCCGTCTGATGGGCTCCCGGGACAAGTTTCCCATGGAGGAGAAGCTTGCCGAGGAAGGAGCGCACCATGAGGTAGACGGATGAAAGTTATCACCCGTCGTCATCATCGCACTCCGGATTCACGCTGCCTGGTTGGATTTCGTTGCCATAAAAACCTGAAGCTTTTTTTTTCCTAAAGCCATTTTTTGTTGGATCATTTTTTCATGTTGATTTTTTATTCTCTGTGTTGATGTATTCATTTATGTATTGTTCACTCATTTAATTCTTGTCAGCGTTTCTTTTAACTCCCGCTGCGCTGCCCCGTCGTTTGCACGCTTTCACCAAGCCGAACAATCCAATCATAAAGAGTTGTGTGCCGGAGCTCCGAAGCGGCGCGTCGCTTTGCTCTGAGCGGGAAACGCTGATGTTGTTTGGCTCTGACTGCGGTTCATATCTCACACAGCCTCCCGTGGCAAAGAAGGAAGCCAGCGCTGTGAGCATGGCCCACATGCTGAAGAGGGCCGACTCCAAGGCGGAGACGCATACGAATGGGTCGGAGGTCAAGCCCGCCGGCGCCAATGTCTCCTCTCAGGTAAAGCAGCAATAAGAATGTGGGCAAACCTCTCAGCACTATCGGATAAAACCCCCTCATCTGTGGCCTTCTTCTTCTTATGTCATCTGCTACATGCATATTGCTAAACGTAGCATTTTATTAGCAGCCATCTAGCAAAACATAATTCATTCAGGTAAAATCCAAAGACCCACTTGCCTTGTATTTTATCTTGTAAAGACATTTGTCAGAGGAGCGGTTGGATGTTTTGGCAGGTACACATTGTTTTCTTGCTGATTCAGTTCAATACAAAACTATAACTATCAGCGCATTAGCTTTGCGGAAAAAGTTGTCGAAATGTACTTTCTGCAGCGTCGCTACGTCCCCCGTTAAGTTCTACCGGGATTTTTCTCTCAACACGTCGCGGTTTTAGAGGAAGTCATGTGCAGGACGATTTTCGGGGGGGGGTGAAGGACTTTGTTAAGGATTTATATATAGTATTTAGCTCTTGTTATCTAGGTCATGTGTTGGATACAATTGTCGATACGACTTTAAGCACCAGCATCGGTGGACAGTGAGGACAACGTGACGGCATCGTAGGATCCGGATCTGGTCTTAATTAGAGTAGGAAGCCTTTGTCTTCATGCTGCGAAGCAATTCCCAGGAGGGAAGACGTAGCGGCATCATCACGGTGCGATTAAACTAGTGACAGTTGGTGTATGGTGAAAGCAGGTGTGGATCCAATTCATCTCCCGAGGCAGACATTGGAATCCCGGCCGGCCGGCTGTCCCACAGGTGCCTTATTAAAATGAAGTTAATCGCTTCGGGGCTCTTCAGCCATTCAGCTCGAGATGCGAATGAACTCGGCAACGATGTCAAGTCGGTGCCTTTTGCAGACCCAGATCATTGTTATAAGAGGAAGCAAGTGGAGGACGACGTCACCCGATCAAAGATCTCCAGCACCGCCGGTGTTACGCCACCAGAGGGAGCCTATGGTTCTGCGAGGCATCGCCCCCACACTGGCTTTGATTGTCAGTCCACTAAACCGACCAATTCATCCCAGGCTGTTTGGATGAGATATGTATAATGGGACAATACTTTTTATTCTGTTCCGTCTTAGTGAGAGTTTCTGAAGGACAACGTAACACTAAAGCAGTAAAAATGGCTCCTTCTGAACTCACTTCAGGCCTTTTGCTGCTCACTTTGTCCGACCAACTCGTCTTATGTGTTGCAACATTAAGCACAACATTATTTGACAAAATTCTTTATTTGTATATTTTCTTATATTTATTTTTATGAGCAGCAGCTGCACGATACAGATTTCCCTTCTTATTCTGGCGTGTTTGCAAACTGTGCCACCGATTATTACCGCCGTCCGCGCCATGTTTCAGCGTGTCGATCAGTAAAGTACTAAAAACGCATTCGGATGCTCCTTCTCTCACACACTGACTGACTGACTAATGAGCTGCTCGCTGAGCCGCCACGTGGGCTGCAGCGCCGCTTATTTAGGATTACAATTACACGCGGGCTTCCCCCCCCCAACGACACAGTGTGTAAAAAGGAAAAGAAAGTAAAAGGAGTAAACTCAGAGTGTTTTACCACAATGCGGTTTAACCCTAATGAGAAGAAAAACAGTTGAATTTACCATCCTCATCAATCAATGTCACACAGCGTCATGTTTCTATCCGTACGAATACACAGTGACGCTATGTGTACATACGAACTGTGGGAAGAATATTTCGAGACAATTATTATGTGAAATGGATTTGGGATTTTGTGCCTTTTGAAGAGGTACTAATCAATAGTTTTATCGCCTAAAAAATGATCAGATATCGATGTGTATCTGTCGCTTGCTTGCAGTGAAATCCGCTCTGCGTAGCATCTTCTGGTGTATTGTTAAGGGGTGAAATAAGACTTACTCTTGAGGGACCAGGGACATGATTCCAGGTGAAAGTCATGCTGTCATGTTTGCCACTTGTATTGTTCTGTGTGGATCAGTAATAACTGACTGCTGATGTTTGTCGTCTCCTGCAGTGAATTCTTCCATTCAGCTGCACTTTCTAGGTGGAAGTTAATAAAGAGCATTCTTCTCTCCTGCAGAACTTCAGAGTTGTCGGCCCACGTGAAGCTCCGGCTGTCCTTAAAGAAAACGGCTCCCCTGTAAGTATGTTTACAGAGGAAGCACATCAATGTGTGCGTGTGTGTGTGTGTGCGTGTGTGACTGTAACACAACTGTGCTGTAGGTAAAGGCCGGATCCCAGGGGAGGGAGTCTGTCGTGTCCCCGCTGACCATCACCGCTGACAGCGTCACCTCAGCAACCACAACTCAAGTTACCAAGGTAACACCTCATCTGTTGCCATGGTGACAGTTTAACTGGGGCCCGGACGGATGAATAGGTTTCATTCCTCGTTGTCGACATGCTGGGATCAATAAACTGATATAAATCCTGTTTTATTCATCGGTCTATGAATGATGATACAATAAAATGTACTATTCTTCACATTAATAAGTGACTACTGGAAATACACAACAATGACCTATGACTACTTCTTTTGTCTTCTGTAAACTGACATCGACAGTCACTGAGTTCCCTTTTTCGTCTGCTGCAGACGGTGAAAGGAGGCTTCTCAGAGACCAGAATCGAGAAGAGGATCATAATCACAGGAGACGAGGACGTGGACCAACATCAGGTGAGAAGGACGAGACCCGCAACACTTCCACACATTGTTCTATATCTGCAAGAAGGGCACACGCGCTGACGCCTCGTGTCCCTCCCAGGCGCTCGCCATGGCGATCCAAGAGGCCAAACAGCAGCACCCCGACATGCTGGTGACAAAAGCCGTGGTCATCAGGGAAAGCGAGTCTCCGACGGAGGAGCTGCAGCAGCAGGCAGAGGTGTGCGACGTCTGATCCATTATTTAACGCTCTAGCAGGCGCCGGGCCAAAATCATTTAAAAGGTCAAAGTATAGTAAGTTCTAAAATGTCACAGTGTAGAAGGTCATGAACATGTCACAGTATATTAAGTCGTCTGACATGGAGATAATAAACAGGTTATGGTGCAGTTTCATGACTCATCTGTGATGCTGTTTGTCTCTTCTGCAGTCCTGATTGGCCGTGGTGGCTGCTGAGACGAGGGAGGGGGGCGGGAGAGCATCCAACAGACGAGCGCCTTCCGGTCTGACCCTCCCCTCCCGCAGTACGCCCCCCCCCCCCCCAAGACTCTCTGTGAAAACACTGGAACAAGAACGGACTCACTTCCATGAAGCAGTAGACCTCCACAACCAGCTCTGACTCTCGCCCCCCTCCTCCCACACACACACACACACACACACACACACACATCTGTCCTGGGCCCATTGGGTCAGGTGGTCTGAATCCCTCCCCGTAAGGGTCCTGGATGAACAAGGTATAAGAGTGGGGTGGGGGGGGGGGTTAAATGAACAGCGCCAAGCGGCCTCTCGCTCGATGCCGCCTCCTCCTGACTGCAGCTTCAGTATAATCCACAGCTGTCTTATAAGCTTTTTACATTTTTATCTATAGAGGATCTAATTTATGTGCAGTGTTTGCTTGTTTATGTATAATGTCAGATAATCTGCATGATGAGATAGATACAAAATAGCAGCGGGAGTGCAAAATATGAATAAATACACAAAGGCATCCATATATACATATATATATATATATATATATATATATATATGTATATATATATATTATGGGTCTGGCCCCTACAGACCGCTGGGGGGGGGGGGGGGGTCCACTGAGGAAGGACAGCCGGGACTCGTCCGGTTCGCCCTCACCGTTTTTTTATTTTCACGTCAACGTTGAGGAAATGCTGGTCACTGGTTTCGGGCGCCGTCGCACGACGTTGAGAGATATTTTAATATGAATAATGTTTTATCTAAAAGCTTTTCAGAAATGTGATGATTTGACTGACTGCCGTCATGGAGACTGTTTGCTTTCCTCTTCACTTTGACGCGGTCGAGCTGGAAGATTAAGTTAATCAGAGCGAACTCCAAACCAGAGAAGTGGTACTGCAGGACGCATGTGCACACTTCCCTTTGGGGGGGGGCAAACCCTTCTGTCGTTTCTTTAGTTCTTGTGCCCCTGATATGTTCGTTCATCATTTGAAATATTTTTGTGGTATGAGAGTTATTAATTCGGGCGGCAAAACTACAACTTTTAAGTTTGTGCACGTTCACGAGCATTATCCTAACGTGGTTTTTTTTTTTTTTATTCTGTCGAACTGTATTTATAGGAGTGGTGAATGTGAGGCCTGTGCCCCCCCCCTCCCTCCCCTAGTGTCACCAGGATGACCTTTAATGATATACTATGCATCACTTAATCACCCATAGACCCCCCTGTGATGGAGCTTGACCCTCGCTGGTGACCTTTCGCTGCTGTTAGCCGGAGGCGGAGCATCTCACTCATCGCTGTAAAAAGAAACAAGGAGAAATTGCAATAAGCAGCCATCGCTCGCGTCACCTGTCCTCTAAAAGGAGAAAACTGTGAACTGTAACGCAGAGGCGGTACGCAAAAGGAAGCTTGGAAGTGTCGCCCCCTGCTGTTGATGCGTCGGAGGAAATTCATTTGTTTTTAGTTTTTTTTCTTCCTTGTTTTCTGACACTGGACTGTTGTGGAGGCACCTCGCTGATGACTGCAGCACGTACGTACACTGTAAAGCTGTTTGAAACGGACTCACCACTGATGGGAGACAGACGAGGGGAGAGATGGAGGGAGGAGGGGCCTCCATCCACATGCACATGCACACATACGGTATATATGCACACTTCTGTGTGGTGCCCATGTAGACTTTGAGCCCGTGGGTGTAAAACCAGCGTCTCATGAGTGGGTGCCTTATGCTCAGAGTGGTGCTGACGAGAGCAGCAGCCGGCGTTATCACAGCTCAGCCGTCAATCATCCCCGAGGCGGACGTGGAAACGACCCCCCCCCCCTCCCTCAGTCGAAGGGCGAACCGGAGCTGGTCTTACAAAGCGAATTACTCGCTTGGACCAGGACGGGACATGACAATATTTATTGGCCCCATTAACGTGGATAATCCACATGAGTTCCCATTATGGGTTTTAGGTTGTTTTATGTTCTTTTTTTCCTGAAGAGCATTGAGCTGCGCTGCCTTCTTGCTCTACATCCCCCTCGTGCTTGGTGGTGTGTATTTGCTGTATTTGCATTCAGTCTAAATGGAAAACATACATGCATAAATAAATGTCTCAGTATGATTCAAACACTGTGTCTGACTCCACTGAAGAGGGGAAGGGGGCCAGTTGTCTAATAGTGGACTGTGGGGAAACAAATTCTTTGTCTACTTCATTAAATGACTTTCATCCATCAGCAGTTCGTCATGTGATTAATTGTAGTTTTTTTGTGAGAGAAGTGGAGGCTGCCGTTGACGCCTTGTTCTTCACTGCCATCTCCTGGCCTCCATCAGCACAACGATGCTGGCAGCAGGTTTGAAGAAGTTATTTATATGCTGTTAGCGCCATCTAGTGCGCTAAACGGTCTGATACGCGATTGCACTTGATGCCTTTTTGTCCACTTTTTTTAACAACGCAATCCTTTTATGTGGAAAAAAGTAATAGTATATAACGTCCAAATAAGTCAAAGCCAAACAGAGTAATAATTTGTAAAAGTCAACAAACACCTGTAGTTTATAAGTTGAAGAAAGACACGGAACTGAATTAAATGAACAATGTATATTATGTCAAAAATAAAAAATATATATAAAATAATCGTATAATCTGTCATAAAAAATTGAAAAATAGTATGGGGAAGAAAATAAGACATCGATAGGATAAGCTTTCAAATAGAAGACATACTCTGCTATGACTGTCTAATTGTATTATTGTATTGTAAAAAAAGATCACAGCATAGCATGTGAAAAGGATGAAAAAGTGATAATATAGTATATTGAAATAAATGTCAGCATACATTGCTGTTATTAGTATTAGGGTAAATCATTCTATGGTATTTTCACGGTTATGGCGTAAAGATCTACAATTGTCACCTGATACACCGGTGACACATCAAGATATGAAGAAGAGATTCCAGCCTCATATTTACGACTCTTTTATGTCTTCTTTCGTATATATACATGTAGAATATACTGTGGACTTTATTATAGAAATACTACACCTTGACTTTTTCATGACATTGTTGTCTACGTTGTGATTGACAGGTTATAATTATTATGTAACCCTTTCACAGTTTGTTATCAGATCGTAATTTGAACCTTTTGGTCGGCCAAAAATGTATCATTCAACATTTATTTGTAAGTCAACCGTCTTGTTTCACTTCAGAAACGTGAGTGTGGACTCCCTTGTTATTGGAACGGGACCCAAAGTTTTAATCTGTAGCTCTTGGCAGTTTTAATTGGAGCCGTGCTTTGTTAAATCCCCGGAGCATCCCTTCAGTAAACTGTATCTCTACATCCACGTGTTTCATTTGTTTAATTGTAATGTGAACAAGTAGAGAAGAACATACTCCCATATGTTGGTCCCGTGATGTAGTGACGGATTGACCCACAGAGCTTGACATTGTTCTATAAATCAATAATCTTTATTAACACAGTATAAACAACAAACAGCAACAGAGGGAAGCCTCACGTAGAGTGTGTATGGACACCTCGGAGGGGCTGACTGAGACGGGGGGCTCATCATGGTTCAGATACATATAGTTTACACTAAATGATCAGATGCATGAGCCGTGCACGTTGCCAAAGCCAATCGGTCGACTTGCAGATGGACAGAAGAGAAGACAAAGGAATAATCATGCTGAGCAACAGTTAGCTACAGTATGAAACAGAGTTATTACACAAAAACAAAGTAAATCATCTCTTTAGAAAGGGCTTTTTTTATATAAATGATTTGAAGTGTACAAAACAGTATATTACACATTTCTTGATGGATGATTCTGAGCGAGACTCAGTAGCCTACAGCACACTTCCCTTCAAAGTACAAACTACTTAACCGGATTACACGCTACATACAGACTGCGCGGCGCCTCGGCGGCACGGCAGCCCCTCGCGGCCTCAGGAGACTACGGGGAAAGGAAAGGATCAGCAGCATTGTCTTTAAATAAGAACACACACCTATAAAATGCACCAGGCCTCATATATTGCCAATATCCCATGCGAAATATCCGAATGCCATTCAGACGATTCTCGTTCCTCCCACCCGATCCCCACAAACAGACATGTAAACATCCCCGCGGCTGCTTCGCTGTTCAGTGCTCCTAATGGTTTTTCATACACACATGAGAAGTTAAGGCTCTTTAAGGACCTGAGGATTTTGAACGTATGATGAGGCACACGGAAGGCAAAGAATAGCTCTAAACACGGCGCTAACTGAAAGGGGGAGGAGCATGAGACAGCCACAAGCGTCCCGTCACCGGCTATCAATGGCCTCTAAAGCAGCAGTTACTGGTAGCGAGCGTTCATGCGGACGCCTCTAAGGACACCGTTGACTTTTTGGGAGTTCTTGGCCACCTTCTCTGATAGGACTGGCACCAAAAAACACGACGATTGCGATGCGTTAGCATCCAGCGTGATAAAAGGTCTGACTGCTGCAACCATTGCATCCGTACACGGAGACATCCCGCCTCCTGTCATGGATGGTATTTCCATCCAAGCTCCAAAGATGCTTCAGCATTCTTTTGTTGTGAGAGCAGTGGAAGTGTCTGTCAACGCGTTACAAACTAAATGCATTCCTCTGCGGCAGCGCGGCATGGGGACATTTGGAAGGCCCCACTAAGTGGGCTTTGGGTGAAAGCTACTTTGTATTTAGTCGGCGCACTGCAAAGGGCCTGTGTATCCGTCCTCCATGCAGGAGAACCCAGATACCTACAGAAGAGTACTATTGGTATGCTTTTGCTTTATGCGAGGTGCGATTGGACCGATACTGCGGCAGCTACACCCGATTTATAGGCTCCGCTGCCACGATGACACTCAAACTATTTGAAAAGGATGATAAAAGTAAATAAGGTGGTGGAGGCAATTTTACAAAACAATGCTTCTATTCACATGATGGGTATTGAATTCATTAGGTAAATAAATAATAAAGTGCTGTTGGCATCTGTGTCATTTGAAGAGTGCTACTTTTGCTACCTCATTGTTGTTATTTAGCGCTAACACGTTAGCGTGGTGGTTGAGCATCAGCGTGGGCTGTAGGGGGATTTGAATCCTCTAATTTAAATGACCAATTTTGACAAACACTCAATGTCGTCCTGTGAATGAAACATTTGTGACATATTGCGGAAACAGGAATGCAACACAGTAACAGTTAATAGTTCACTCACTTGAAGAAAATAAACGTCTCTGGTCTGATAGAACCAAAGATTTCCTTATTTTAGAAGACAAAAGGCGAACTGTCATATCACATTCTTAACCTCCAGTCCGGATAATGTTATTTGCCATGCACCTCATTTTCCTCAAACCCAGAAGGACTCCCAGTTGATTAAAAAAAACCAAACTATAAAAGCTCAACGTGTCATACAAAAAGATGCATATAAGACATTTTTCTCTTCATTTTTTTGTTCTTATGAAAGCTGCTTTGGTAACAACATAGTCACGACATCGGTCCCCTTTGCTCAGCCTGGGCGCCGGAGGGGAATCCTTCCCTATCATCTCAATGGCGTTTTTATTTCATTTTTTTCACTTTTTTTTGTTTGTTTATTTCCTCCTTTTGACTCTACAATCTAGATGAATGGATCTAGTGACACCGGAGTGGGCTGTGTTTCGTGTTCCGCCGTAGCGCTGTCACCGCATCAGATGCAACGTCCGCCGACAGCCGTTTGTCATAAAGATGTCCGCGCCGTGAAAGACAGCGCTATTGTACTGAGGGCCGATAGAGTGGAGACCTTGGACGCTGAGCCGACGGCGTTGGGGCCTGAAACGGTACGAGGAAAGAACGAGGCCGTTAGACACCTTTTGGCATTTCACTTTACGAAGCCGACGTCTCCCTCCTGCCTGCTGAGTGCTACAAGATATGTGAACGTAGTTACCGTTGCTTACTTCCGGTTTACTCCATTCATTCAACGGTAGCTCAAGATGGAGAGAGCTTTTTGCATTGGAAGCAAAGCAAACAGAGGCTTTTCCTCCACGTGTCAAACATAAGGGAGGGTAAGTGGCCAATGGACCACTTAAAGCACCGCTACGCTAAGCTAGAAGCTAGAAGAGTTGCTGTTCCACCCGGTGGAATTCTGCCTCCAAGATGATCAAATGTGTGTAGTTTTGTGTCTAAAATACACGTTTTTTAAAGTGATTACTCATCACTTGTAAGATGTCTTTAGAAGAAAACAAACATTCATTAAAAACAACAACAACAACCTTCGTTAATCGCCATTAATGACAGTAAGGAGCTGAGGGGCAGCGCGGTGGAGGGGAGATATATTCGGAAGGCCGTCACCTAAACGAACTCATCAAGATCAGGTGGTCCAGGAGACACACCTGGACCTCATGTCGTCAAGGGGCTACATAAGGCAGGAGCAGGGAAGGCAGTTTGGGGAGAGGACCTTGGTGAACCGGATAGTGGTCCGGGGCGCTTAAGTTGGGTTTAGGTTTTTTTTTGCTGGCGGCTGGAATTACCGGAGTGATTTATTTTGTTTCTTTGACTGATTGATTGAAATGTCTCCGAAGACACGTTCCACCTCCTGACTGCTGCGCTGCCTTTTATTCACTATCCTCCCGGCCATCTTGTTACACTCATTTCAAAATGTGCGATAAATCAGTTAATTCATTTTTATGCATTGACAGCCCTAACACAAATAAAGAATTTTGTAAAATGAAATATACATTTTGTATCTAATGTTACGATACATAAGACACGTTGGTCGGATAAAGTGACGGCAAAATGCCTGCGGTGAATTTCCCAAGGAGCCCGTTTTACACCCCGAAAGTATCCAGAACAAACATCACAACTTCATACACGATGTCACGTGGAGGCCGTAATTACAGAAACGTCTCCCGTGGTGCCTTATTTCCCCCGTCCTCGCGGTCCCTCTCAGAGGTGATGATAGCTAATCTGTTCAGGCACGACGGCAGCCAGGCGGTGGATTATTCTGCAGCTATCTCACCACTGACCTGGTATCCTCGGGATGGTGATCTGCCTGCTACTGCTGCCTTCCCCTCCCTCTCCAAAAGGCTTTATCTGGATGATATAGTCCTCATCAGTGGGCAGGGCGAGCTCCACGGAGGTCGTGTTGGTTTCCATGACGTTGAGGCGGCTGTGGCGATTCTTCTTGTACAGCACCTGAGGACGGACGGCGCGAGTCGACAGTCATTCGCGGCCACAAGCACAATTTCTCCAATAAAGCCGAGCAAGTGGGTGCCTACTTTGTAGCCGGTGACCTCCGACTCGTTGTCGAGGGCCTTGACCTGCTCCCAGTTCAATATAATCTTGGAATCCGATGTGTTCCACATCACTTTAACCGGAGGCTGACTGGGCGCTGGGAGCAGAAAGACACGTTCTTCACCAAAAGGACAGCTGGAACGGGCGCCGGGGAGGCGACTCAGGCCGGTACTTACGCGGCTTCTTGGTGGTGACGTTGACCGCGGCGCTGGGAGGCCCCGTTCCCGCCGTGTTATACGCCCTCACCGAGATGCAATACGTGCTGCTGCCTTTCACCCCGCGGATAACAGTCGACGTTTGATTTCCCACAGTCTTCTGCACGCTGGCCGTGTCTTCCCTCTCACTTCCGCTCCAGTACCTCAGCTGAGAAGCGACAGGGCGGAACCGCAGACGTGAACGCAGAAAACGCGACCGACACCTTTTTTAAAAGCTTTCTGTTACACCCCGTCAACGCAGCGCAAACTGGCAACGGCGAGATGTGAACTCGGCGGGGTGGAGGATGTGAATCGGTGTGCTGTGTGCTCATCAGACATGTGTCACGGTTTAAGCTTGCGTGGTAAAGAGTGAGGCGGTTTGCTCGGGGCCCTTTTTTATGCAACCGCTGGGTGGAAACCGGCCCTCTGTTCCCGTCTTGGAGTTCGTTAATGAGTGGAATTAAAATGACAACAACTTACTGAGCGCGGGGCCAGTGTCTGCAACCGCTTTGTTGTGTGGATTAGAAGCTAAACGCGGCGTCCCTGGGAGTATTGCATCAGTACACTAATCAGGGTGGTTACAGTACTTAAACAACAAGAGAAACACAACCAGGCCACAGGCGGGGGGGCGAGGCTGGACCGTTATGCACGCAGCCAGCTATTGTCTCCGGTGCCCAAGGTGCCTGAGCCTGAAACACTCATCAATAATAAAAGAGAACACGATTCAGCAGCATAAGTTGCCGCACACACACACACACACACACACATAAGGTGTATCATTATGCCTGACCTCATAGCCCAGGACTCTTTTTTTGCTGGCATTCCAGGGCAGAGCTTTCCACCACACTTCCATCTCGGATGCAGAGAGGCTCTTGGCTCGGACCCTGGTGGGAGCTCGGCCGGGCTCTGGAGTTAATACACAAAGGCTCAGATGTAACACGCAGCTTTGATGGCAACATCAAACAGTTGTTTCTTTCATTCAAACAACAGAGGAACTTTGAGGAGGACGCTTGCAAGTGCTGAAAGAGGAACGCTGGCTTCAAGATCGCTGCTCAGAGCCTGGACGGATCCACCCGTGTGCTCAGGCATCAAACCGCTGGTGACATGAAAAATGACACGCACCTTCTTCAGCTGAGTAGATGTTGGTAACCGGTCCGAAAGGCCCCTCCCCCTCATTGTTGTAGACCCCGACCTTCACATGGAAAGGTGAGAAGGGCTGGATGCTCTCGTTTTTAAAGACGTATTTGGAGGTTTCGGGGGAGGGCACGGCGGCCTGCATCCATCCCGTGGAACCGTGGGGTCGGAAAGCCACCACGTAACCGAAGCCCGGCCCATTCTGCAGCTCCTCAGGGACGGGCTGCAGGGGAGGAAAGCAGAATGATAATATATATTTTAAACTCTCGATTCATTAATTTAAGCGCGATACATTTAACAAAGCTGAGACTTTTATTTGAGACTTGGCCTCAAATAAAACCTGCTGTGACCAAAAAAACCTGCTACCGGACACATCGGTTACACAGCACGGTTCCTCAGCACGACGCCATGAGCTCAGCTGTTGTCTGGACTGATGGCATGGCTCATATATTCATCGCTGCAGACTGGATTCTGGTGGATAAACCGAGCCGCTTCACTCTAAGTTCTAATAAAAAACACTTGATTTCTTCTTTCTGTTTTACAACTTTCTATCTCAACGTAAGCGTGTGGATGTGGAATCTTTGAGCCCCTAATATTTATACATTGGGTATTCCTTTTTTGAGCTTCAGTGAATCATGCATCTTTTCTTATTAAGTTACCACATAATGGGCTCTGAAATCATATTGATAATTAGAAACATGTCGTGAATGTAAACTAATGGTGTGATTGAGTGTTTCTGGGAAGGAGTCAATTCTACATTATTAATGACGTAATAAAAGCATCTTGGTTTACATTTTTCCTGAATATCTCCTGAAAAATATTAGTTAGTTTCTTCTAAATAAAATGTCTTTTAATGAAAAGTGTACATTGTAAAATCATTCCAATTGAATTTGCCATACATTTGGTATTGTATCTAACATGTTTGATTCTTATTTTAAATTCTTTACTTACTTATCGAGGTTATTAACCGCTGCATTCACAGATTCTTGTCGTTTTTCTAACTATCTATACTTCCCCTCACAGAAGATCTTATTATCTCACGCGCAGGGAACCCAGTGGGTATAATTAACACTGAAAAGTTCCATTTTCAGACTCACTACAGGTAACTCATTAAACTTATACGCGACTTTAATGAGTTATGAGTTATCAAAATTAAAACTGAAACACGGCTGCTTTTTATTTCCAAAGGAAAGCGCCTGAGGGAAGTTCACATGCGAGGCAGACGCGTGGCTTTGTTCAGAAGTCAGACTGCGTTTGAACTCCTCCGTATTGAAACATCAACACTGATTCTGCCAAACGCTTCACAGCGGGGGCTGATGATTTTAAAGTGCCGGAATAAATATAGGCTTCTGGAGCGTGACTGATGTGGGCTTTGCAGGAGAGAAAGAGGAAGAAAGACAGGAAGGAAAGAAACGATTTGAAAAAAAAAAAAAGGTCTGTACCATTAGGTTTAATTATCATATTGAAACCTGAAAAGCATTCGTCTCTCCCCCAGGGTGACGGGCGCAGTTATTGCCTCTCTGTTCTTAAAAATGAAACGCCATACATTAAGCCGCTCGGCTGTTATTGATGAAACACAGGCCCAGATGCACGGAGAATAATGGCGTCTGGCTCCGGCGGTCCAGAGCCGGCTCGCTTACCTCCCATGTGATGACTAATTCGGAGCGACTGCCGCCGCCTCCACTCACGTTAGCCGGCGTGACCTTCGGAGCTGGAGAGCAAGAAGACAGATCAGCTTAGCCGTGTTGACGTGACGCAACGCTGAGACGGCGCGCGGAATCGTTATTCATGTCGCTCCTCCCCGGCAGCAGAGAGACGCAACTTTCTGACATGGTCGAACTGCAACGTTTGCAATTCCGGTAAGAAAGCCGCAGGATTCTCTGAGCGGAGCAGCATGTGTGTATTTTCTAATCTGACCAGGATTCCAGTACACAACTGACCCCATTGAAAGGCTTTATGCTAAGCTAAGCTAACCACTTGAAGGACGGGGTTGTTACTGCATTGACTTTACGTACTACAACCTGAAGGAGTAATGCGTTCAGTGGTTTCCATGACGGAGTGGTACATACAGGTCCCCTTTGTCCTGGCTTGTTTGGATGGCTTGCTGGGCTCGCCGGTCCCGACGGCGTTGCTCGCGAGGACTCGAAACTCGTACTCCACCCAAGGGCTCAGGTCTATTACTGTAGCTGTCAGCCGGTGGCCCCCCACCACCTCAGGAACTGGCATAAAGCACACAGTGCAGCTTTCAGTATCGCACAACTTTGTGTGTGTGTGTGTGTGCGTGTGTGTCAGCTTAGCATCAGCAGCAGAATGACCTCCAGCCTGACTCACATAGTGGGAGTCCACCACAGGTGCATTCACAGTGGTAATCCCACCCAAGGACACACAACTCAAAGAAACAGGACACAAACACAGAATAATCACATCTGGAAAATAACAAGTATATATTAGAAGGTTAATAGACAGCTATGAACTCTAATCACACGTGTGATGTGATGTGTGCGTTCCGCTGGAAACTACAAGAAGCCATTTCCTGATGCTGACCGAGGAGCTGTGTCTGCCTGCAAGGTCATAATGTAGTTACATTTCACATTTGATCCCGATGTGGTGAATCAATGAGGCCAGTAAAACCCTCCGATAAAGTGTCCTTCGTTTTCCAAAAATATCAATACAACAAGGTATATAGTACGCAATAAATGCACATCATACCGGCCATAAATGAATGCTGAGCTCCATTTAAGCATCTTGGGGGCGGGGGGGTATGCAGGCGCTATCTGTTAACAACACTATCAGATTGCAGCCACGGCAACGAGCTTCCATCATCGGGATGAGATCCACGTCTCAGGATTCCCAGGCGTCCGATGAAGTGGCGGTCAATGGTCACGCTAGAATAGCGTACCATTTGGGGCCCGGGCAAAAAAATGACTTTTCCAATATCCTCACAGGCGAGGCAGAAAGAAGAGCGGAGCCCCTCCATGTGATTGGAGGAGGCCACGGCTGGTTGGAGAGAGCTTACCTGTGGTGACAGCCTGCCACCCGAGGGAAAATGGTGTCCTGGCCTGGATGGTGTAGGCCGTAATTGGACTGTGATTATCGGGCCCGGGCCTCCAGGACAGAGAGGCTGTGGTATCAGTGATTTCTTCTACGTGGACGCTGGTCGGGGGCCCCGGGGGACCTGAGAGACGGCATAGCCAGGCAGCACAGAGGAGAGGAAGATAAGAGAGACAGGCGGAGGAAGAGTTGGGGGGGGATGTAAATCAGGAGATGGGGAAGGTGGAGAGAGTGGCGGCGGTTTTAGCACCTGCAGCTACTTCAGCAGAGTCGGTGAAACCTTTGGGAGCTATTTGCTATAATTAGACAGTAAATTTTCTTCCTCGGAAGGAGAAATTTTGGTGCGCCCCCCCCTCTTCATTCTGTCCTTTTTATTTTTTTTGTCTTTGAAGCACAACTGGTCACAGTAAACGCTAATCACCAACAAGCTCCATCCTACTTCAGCACGGGGTGAATAATACATCATTTAACCGGTTATCTGGTCGCTGGTCATTTCCAGTTGAAGCGCGTTGGTTCTCAGGGGAAGTAGAAGGTAGTTAAAGGAACGCCGTGGCTCACCTCTGACAACCAAGTCAGCAGCAATGGAAATGCTGTCCACCTTGGTTTGCACGGCACACGTGTACTTCCCCGCATGCCTCAGCTGGATGTTCCGAATCATGATGTCTCCTGCCGAATGCTGCTGTCATTCGACACACACACACACACACACACACACACACACACACGGGTTCCATAAGCAACACAGTAAGCCTCCAGCTATTATAATTCGAGAACAATACCGACTTCCCCGGCCACTGGGGAACAGAACCAGCTGAACGGAAAGCTCGTCCTCACGTATGTGGATCTTGAAAAATAGTTCCACGATTCCGCATGCAGCCTTCCCTTCTACGGCCAAAGAATACTGGGCACGGTCCACGCCTTTATTCTACCACTCTAAATATAGATATGTACTTGTTCATATAGTTTGATATTGCTAGAGTTACTTGGGGGATCCTTTTATTCCATCTCTAATTGCAATCACGCACTCCTACATGATCATTTCATCAGATCGGAGCTGGTTGTATAATAAATCGGATACAAACTGTGGCACAATCCTGTCGTGGCTGGTAGATTAATCAAAGTAAGTGCAGAGTTGAAGCGACGCGTTAGTCCGACTGTAAATGATGGTAAAGGAAGCAACTGAATCATAGATACAGGAAAGTGCTGGATATGTTCTCTCTATGTTCGCAGTTTTTGAAGGAGACTTGAATATCTTTCTAAGGAAAAAATGAAGCAACGTAACACATGCTGAGATGCAAGCGGCAAACTTCTTGAAGTACACAGAGGCCGACTGAGACTGGGTGCAGGGTGCGTATGGAAATTTCATTTTTAAAATAAACCACAGGCAGCAATTTTCCTGCCCATAAATAATAGACTTGATACAAACACTCCCTCTGCACTGCGGCTGCATTTATTATGACCCTACTAAAAGAGAGAAAAAGGTACGATATTGATGTACCAATGAATCTTCACAGTCACCTCTTGACCTTTATTCAATGGAATCTCCGGAGGGGCTGGGAAATAAATCAATGTCTTTTTATGTGGCAAAAGGGCACATTCACACTAATGAAATGAGCAACACAATATGGTTTGATTCTTAATCATTTATTGTGCACTGAGTAAATGACGGAAAGCTGAAGGGACGCCTGACACGAGGTGAAGCACGTAATGCAAAAGTAAAGCGTGCAAAATGCTGTCAGAGACCTGCATCGTGTTTGTCATGAACCCCGCTGGAACGTCTTGGGGATCATTTAAAGTATCTGTGTGGAACTTGGTGAAAGTCGATAGAGGAGCAGACGGAGGCTTCAAATGGAATCGGTATCAGATCGCTGCACTTTCACAGGGTGAAAAAACTGTTTTCACAACATTTTATTACGCACGGAACTGTGTGTTGACAGTAATATTCGCTTGTGTATGTGACAGCGGCATAAATGCCTTAATTGTATCATGCTAACGTTCCTTTATTGTGATTATCTAGAAAATGCTTCTATGCAATTCTGCATATTGGCACAAAAACATTAGATTGTGGACTTACGCCTCCCACTTTTTCAAAGAATCCACCGTGGCTGCCGAAGTGGATGAGCTGCTCGTTGAAGAACCAGGTGAACTTGAGCTCCAGCGACGGGTCGTGGCTCACCTGGCAGGGCAGGACCACGCTCTCCCCCACGGTGATGTCCAGCGTGGACGGCAGCGTGGTGATGGAGGTCGGCTCTGAAAACACACACACGCGCCGCGCACGTCTGATCAAAACACACTTTACCGCCCCCCCTCTTACCCCCTCGCATTACAGTGCAGCACAGGATGTCGGGTTTGCAAAAAAAGAAATAAATCCCTTCCATCATCCTCATGGACACGTCAGCCTCAGTTAATAGAAGGATATACGGGACCGAGCACACGGCAAAGTAGTGCGCACTGCTACAATAGCGGGTATTAGTTTGGGCCTGAGCTCGTCTCTGTGGGGACTCAGACGTGTCTCTCCTGCGTTCTGAGAAGCCTCCATGTGTCACTGACAGCTCAGCACCAACTCCCCCCCCTCGGCCCCCGAAATTCCCAAAACGCGCCGCTAGGAAAACAGCAAACAGCAGCGAGGCACTTCTTCCAATCTTTTGGAGCCTGCGGTGCATTACAGCGGCACCGCCAGGGAAAAGGCCCGGCGTCCCTTATCTGCACTTGTGTGCGTCTGCAAGGTGGAAGGACATGATGAGAGGCGGGATGAGTGGGGGAGGCTTTGTTCTCAGAGTGCACAGCGCCCGTCCCCCTCGTGGGGGTGCTGTGATTACTTGGTTGAAATTGCCACTCAGAGCGCACAGAGTAAATTAACCATGGCAAATGATCCCTGGACAGGCATAGATTCATGGAGAAAGTGCCGGCAATGCAGTCTTCATCTAGAGGGAATTCGATACCTCCATTGTATTGGCTCGCTCCACACACACACACACACGCACACACACGCACACACGCACACGCCATCGCCACGCGCTCCTGATGTGATTTATCGAGACCTTTTCTGATATCAGGCCCAGAGTGCTATCAGATTTTTGTCATATACAAAATTAAAGTGTGTCTGGGAGCCACAGTCCTATATTGCTCGGGCTAAATGGCGAGCGATGGTGGCGCACTAAAAACGTGGTAATAACACGCAGACAATGGTTTGTGTTTGGTGAGGGCTGCACCTGCTAGAACAAGAGCAGGGAGGAAATAGAAAATCTACGGGGAAGAAAAACACGACGACACTCTACGTGATGTGAGGAGAAGGAAATTGGAGACAAACAAAAGGATCAGGGAGGAAATATTCTGATCCACAATAACAAAAAGAATGCATCTGCAACATGGGAACATGCTATAAAGATGTGTTATGTATTGGTGTGTGTGTGCCGCGTCCAGGGATCCACTGTGTCAATGATGGGGATCTGCTCCCTTATTACCCTCCTCTGCCATCGTCTGTGACACGTTATATGGACCAAGCTCGCTCACGCCGCCGCACGCTGGGCTCTGGAGCATAATTTGATTGATTTCCGTCCTGTATAATGCCTTGTTACCCGCTGCCACTGGGAGAGTAACCCGCTCACTTAACGGGGGGTCGGTCACAGGCGGGACGGGGAGACGGACCGCAGGGCACCGAGGGCTGCTCAGGTGGGTCAAACCGTCGCTGACGGTGACGTGAATAGTCGGAAAAGGAATTCATTAAAGTTGTCGAATAAGCTTCAAGGTGACGACGTCTAGTAGGCCAACAAATTCCATTCAAAAGGTTGTAGAATTCATGAGCGATACTTATGTTGACTTTGGCTTTCACGGCTCAAAAGACCGGAAATGTTCACATGGGTTTTTCTTTCCTCTGCTCAGGATAGAAGCTTTTTTCCTTCTTTTGGACAATGTTTGATGTGCAAATCCCCTTTTTAAACATGCACATCTTTTTAACCTGGTCTCGCTTCTGAATCAGTTCGACATCCTGGATCTATTCTTTTTAGATCTCATATTATAGATCGTTTTTTAAATCTTTTTTTTGATTCAGCAGACAGTCAGTGACCGTGTGGGTTTGATGGCAGCTTGATGGAGTAGCAGCAGGGTAAATCCCATTATAGGGTTCCTTTAGGAAATACGTAAATAAATTGGTAAGTAAGTATTGTATCATAAAGCATAATAAAAATAGAATAAATGGTGTCAAAGTGAGACATTTTCAGAGGAGAAAACCATGCTGTGTGTATCAGTATATATTTGAATGAAAATCACATTATTCAAGCGACATGAAGTCAGTGACCCTACACAACAACGCGCACGCGTATCCTGTCGCTGACCAAGTGACTGCAGCGCTCCCACAAACAGCAGGCGTCATGAATAATGCCCCCATGGAGATCCCCTCCCAGCTTTAATGGTCTGAAGCTGTAATGTGGAAGAGCGTATTCTCCTTGAGTGTATAGACACGGTGGTTCTCCTCACACGGGGAGTGACGCGAGCTTGAATAATGCACAGAGGAGACACGGGCCGCGGGATCCAAGGATCTGGGACCCTGTAAGTCCTTCAAAGTCGCCGATGACGCCGAGGCATTTCGGTTCGGCGCGGGGCACAAAGCTGTGGAGGAAAACGCCTTTCTAAAACAACAAACATCGGGCCACGGTTCACATCATTTATTTGAAGGTAAATTCCCGTAACATGGATCACATTCTGGGGGGAAAAAAAAGCTCTGCCGTCCAGAGTGGTCGGTCACTAAAGTGGGATGACCTTCATGAAAAGGAACCTTTCCATCGCCGCTTTTTCCTCCTTTTGCTTTTCATATGAACAAAGCGGAGAGTGCTTTCATCAACGCGGCACAAACTCCTCCTACGCGCCTCTTTGAATGCCACTTGTTTTCCAGAGCACAAATCAAAAGGTCTTTCAAGGACAAACTTCAGTTGCAGTAAAAGCCTGTCTACATTGCTCAGCAGATGCACGCAAGATGCACCCAACACTGTTTTCAGAGGCTGTGCAAAGCCCACATCCGCAGCGACCTGCTGCTGATCGCTGGCAGATGGCTGCTCATTTTCTCTCTGCACGGACGTCAGGAGTCGCCTGCATCTCACACACCTACTGGGAGTCGATACGGACCAAAGGGTTCGCAACTCGCACACACTGAAATACTCAGCTGGAGATTTCTCACATACCCCAGAAACCAACGAGAGCAGAACACTCCACCAGAGGTCCTTACCACGTGGTCCAGCATCTGTGGAGCATCCACCCTCCCTCACTGCCAACGCTTCCACGGTATGTGTAACTTTATAAAAGCATCCCGGGTCACATGGTGCCGGGTGTCCAAATGAGCAGAGGTGCTTATCTACAGGTATCTAACTCATAGATGCTCCATCCCTCGCTGACGAGTAACCACAGATGCCATCAGTCTTTTATGTGCTTGACCGAGTGCCGCGTCGCGCGTGTCCTCCAGCAGAGACCGTTATCCTCCATCTTATTCCTTGTTCATCTCTCTGGCGGCGGACTTTTCTCTCCAACTTTTTGAGGGCGGCTGTTTGAAACACGTATCGAAAACCTCTGGCTTACCGACATTCTGGGATGTCACTTAGTTGGAAATTTTGTAACATCTGACGGCCAGTGAGTTCATCTAAATGCAAATAAAGGCACGATTACATGGTCACGATGGCAACCATCATGTTCAGCGTTAACTTTGTGTTACCAACTCGTTCTAAGGAGCCCGACAAACCAGGTATTTGGTCATAAACTCAATAACTCTCATACCTCCCGTGAGAGTATTGGATGAATTGTAATTATTAAGTAATGATGGCGCAAGATAAAATGTTACGGGTAGACCAAGTGATTGTGTTTGCTAAATATGAAGGGGATCCATTCAACAGTTGCTTAGACATTTAACAAACGTCCACTGGGATCGCCAAGCGCCACCAGCGTGGGAACGTGATACAATAACCACTTAAAGAAAATATCCTACCTACTTAATCTTTACTTCCCAAACACCTCCAGAGCCAATGGTTATGAAAAAAAGCGATTTGAGAGGCAGCCAGAAGTGAACGCAGCGTGAGCTCCGAGGCTTCCAGTTCGCTGACCATCTGTAACGATCGGAGGCCCTAATTGCCACGGCTCATCTCTAGCGTAATCAAAAATTCAGGGAGCGCGTCAAAAAAAAAATCAAGTGCAATTAATGTGCTAATATCCCTCCAGTGTTGAAATGACGGCGACATTAACAAGGCTCATCTGTTGTGACCGCGCCGCTTGCTAGGTGGCTCATTCACAGCAGGAGACGGCGAACGCCTTTTGACAGCCATCTTTTTCTTTTTTTTCTCCATCCAAAGTCAATTTGAATAAACTGCTGTCATCTCCCATAAGGCCGCTCCCACGGCGCGCGGCCCCCCCCCCCCGCTAAACAGGTTTCCCATGTTCCATGAGATGATGCATGTAAATCACCCCGTCCCATCTTCCAAACAGTATCGATTGTGACAAGCGGCGCCCGACATTACGTAGAGGAACGTTTGAACATCGGCAGCAGGAAGCAGCCTTAACGTATGAAAAGAAGCAACGTCGGATAAAACTCAGACTTTCCGCGGGGATCATAAGTGGATAACGGCGGCGTCGCTTTAAGCCGAGCACGCGTGTGTTCCCTTGCAGCTTGATTGGGAAATCACACACAGGCCATGTCCCCCCCCCCCCCCCCCCATGCACACTGATTGGCTGGGGGCTTCTGTAGCGTTTCCATTGCGCAGTGTGTGATAAATGGGTATGAGGAGGGTGGGCAGTGTGACTGGCAGGGTGTAGCAACGCTGTGCTTTTTATTGGGCCTCAAGCCTCCACTCGCACTCGAATGCGTCCGCGTGCAAAAGATACAAACACGCTGACATTTTCTCACATCAATTATGCAAAGGTTACTGATTAATTTTTTCTCCTCAATAGGGTGCAGAGCGAACCATGAGAACATCCCGGCAGCGAGGTGCACTCGAAGCTCTCCCCACATCCTTGACTGCGGCTGACTTTCAGGCATTCATAAAACATGAAATCAGTCCTGTATAATTCAAGAGAAAAGAAAAACATGCGTAGACGGGGATTTAACGAAGAAAGAGCTGGTCTGGTCTTGTTTTTTCATTCCATTATGAAAGGCGTGTTGTGGTTTAAAAGGACTGTAGATATAGATACTTGACATTCCTTGTGCCGTTATTCACACTGACATTAATCACTTCTTTTCAAAGTCTTTAGACAAACATTGGCCCGTGGGGCTTAAAGTGAATTCTTTAATAACTACTCAGAAAAAAGCATCATGTCGACGCGGCATTTCAAGGATTTTACTGATTTCTACCTTCAAGGAGGAAGACAATTAAATGAACATTTGAGGAAAAATGACAAACTGAAGAAAAAATAGAGGAAGAAAGAGTTTTGTCTTCAGGTCTTAATGAAAACATTCAGCTCTGGTTGTCTGGTGGAGGAACTGGAAGGACACCGGAGCCCCTTTATCATATTTTAGTTTTGTCTCCAGGTTGAAGGTGTCCTCAGCACCGACGCAGGCAGATTATTAGTGTCGGCTTGAATAATGTGCTTACACATTATTAGTTGTGGGTAAATACGGCGACATGTCAGAATAAGCCGCTCCCTGTGAGACCGCCGAACTAAAGGCAGCGCTCTGATTCGTCTGAAGATCCAAATAATCTGCTGGGAGAACAGATGTGATTCAGTACAAACGCCAGTGAGATATGAGGCGCGAACTTATCTCCATCAGGCCAAGTCAATGGAGATCCATGCTTCGATGGGTCTATACAACCCGGCCCACCAGGAAGGTCAACACAGAACAACTGTGCAACCTCTGCAAAAAAGGAGGGGGGGGGCGAGGCCATTGTTCATTGAGTACGTCAAGAAACCCCCCAGGAACTACAAGAGGGGCGAAAAGAAACAAATCATTTCACTCACAAAGGCAATTCCAGAGAGAAAGTAGTGGAAACATCTCGACGGAAATGAAATCTGGATTAACTAAAAATGATTGGCGCAGAGCCTCGGCGGACGGCTCGGCGCCAGCGGCGGGGCTTCGCCCCGCTGGGGGTCAACAGGGACACGACGCTGCCCCGAGGGGGACGGGAAGGCACGAGGAGAACCAGAACCAGGGCGGCGGCTGTGGAGTGAGAGGTCGTCTGAGGGAGGTTTTCTTTGTGCTCGGCTTCTCGGCCGTCCCCCTTTTTTCAGGAACCGTATTGATTCGGAATTCCTCCGCGGTGCTTTTGTTGAGAATGCTTTAACCCTTGCAGCTGCAATGGGACACGCCGACGCCATTCTCAATCTTGTAATTGAAATTGTGTGGAAGCTCATTCGCAGAGGCCGAGGCCGCCACCACAGTGCCCCGGTATCCCCACGGACGTAATGCTTTTCAACAGCTGTCGATTTTATTGTGGACCTTTTGAGGAGTGAGACTCCAATCACACAGAGTGATCGGACACAGCAAGGTCAGTTTCAATACCGTTAGAAATATTAACTAAATAAAAATAAGGGTTTTGTCTGGAAGTAAAATGGGTCCCAGAGCAGAAACACCGGCGCAGATGATGCAGCAACACGTCGGGCCTTTTGCACGCTGCATGCTGGAGGCGAGCTGAAATTACCAACCGACCTGTGATGACGGCACGCGGGGAAAAAGCGCCGCCCTTCATGTTGGCGGAAAACGAGGTGGCTGGAGGCTTTAAAAAAAAAAAAAACGGTGTCCTTCCTTCTCTACGTTCTTCATGTTTTATTTATGAAACCGGAGCACTTCAAGGCTTCAAGGAGCAGAAGGAAACATCAAGCGCCTCTTTCTGCGCGTGAAAACACGTGTTTGATGAAAGCCGCCCCCTCGCGTCGCTGGTCAGCGCTCCTGCCCGTGTGATGAAACCCTAAGAGGGGCCGGGGAAATACCTTTGACGGTGACGCTTCCTGTGCTGCTCGCTACGCCGAACTGGTTCCTCGCCACGCAGGTGTAGAGGCCGGCATCCGACTGGGTGGCATTCCACACGCGGAGGTTACCGCTGTCCAGGACGGAGACTCTGGAGTTAAACGAAGAGAAGAAGAACACAATTCACATTACGACCGTGGCATCAACGCTGAGGGGGAGGTCTCCGGCTCGGGGGCGTGGCTGCTTCCGTGGGAGGGTCAGCAAGACGTTGGAGGTCGTAAATAGTCGTAATGTCCGGCATCCAACAGCAAACGGGAACCGCCATCTAATGCCTAGTAGACACCGTCCTTAGCGCCGTGTTGCCCCCCCCCCCCCCCTGCTGCACAGATCGGCCTTCATCGCGTCCACATTGCAGCATATTCAACACCGCGTGTCCTTTTGGGTCCCGAGTGTTAAAGCACATACATGGATCACAAGACACGCGAAGGACATGCGGATCCCTTCAGCTGCTGCTACGTTGCAACCGCGCGGCAAAGGACAGCGGCTGAGACGGCGGGAAACATTTCTCAGTGTCTCCTAATTGACTTCTGCTTCTTTGTGGTCCACGGCGATGAGTAATGGGATTGCGTTTTCAGGAGTGATTAATTCAGCACATGACTGGGAGATATCTAGGACAACCGTGGCTTCGTTGCCCTTTGCACAATGGCCACAGGTGCTCCAAAAAGGGCCGGACCAAACTTGACATTTTCAAAATAACAAGCAAATATGGAAATTGTGCCCTTGAAAGGAAGGTGCTGCGGGAAATCAGGGTGGGGGGGGGGGTCATCAAGGCACGCTTCATTTTAATTATCTGAAATGCTTTGCTGAATCTGCAAACTGTAAATATGGAGGGATTGTTAAAGGAGGGGAATGAAGTGTGGCCTGTAAATGGTCGAGTTCACCGACGAGTCAAAGGAGTCACAGCACACGCATTCAGATAGTGGCGAGGGCGACTTCTGGGGGGGGGCGAATGAAGGTCTCGCTTTCGTCGGACAGATGCAGACACGTGCATTAACGACAAACACACGGTGAAATGAGATGTGTGTAATCTGTGCTCACTTGTGATGCCGTGATTAGAATGAATGAATGAAAAATAACCAAAAGTGAGATGTTCATCACTGTGCAGTTCCCTTCGCTCCACACAGCGTTTCAGCATCTTTCAACTCCCTGTTTTCACGTTTTAACATTCAACGCAGATCTTATCAAAATATGTTTATTGTAACATTAGCTAACTATGTTTCTAACCCGGCCAAAAGGCCAGAAGGGGATTTAACTGTGGATCTTTTGCTGCTGCTTCACCGTCTTCGCCAGCTAGTCGACAACTTGGCAGAAACATCAAGCTGAAATGTGGTTCTTTCCGTCTGTCGTTCCGTCACTTCAAGGTAATACTTTTTCCTGCAAGAAGTACTACTATTGAAGCCTCAGCACTTAAGAAAAATAAACCTATATCATATCTCTATTTGCTGAATATTCCATTTATTCTGCACAGCTTTAGCTATGAAGCCCGATTCTACACACTGACCTGACGTGATACTTACTACATGACTGCATTAGGTTACATTAAAAGTAACAGTCCTTGTACATCAGTCATTTATGACCCTCCCTCCACCCAGCTGATAGTCAATCATTCCTCTAATGCTTTGGATTGATTCAAAACATCCCTTTGACGGTTAAAGATGGATGTAGGTGCAGTCTGAGCTGAAACAGAAAGGATTTTTTTTGTGTGACACACGGTACAGAAAACAGTTCATCGGCTCTCACCGTTGTCTCACAGCAGGATGTTTGGCTGTTTGCACCACTCATGCGTTTAACTGGATGTGCTTGTGAAATGCGGTTGATGCGCTGTGACACAGTGTTACTCCTCTGCTTCTTTTTATGCAGCGACACTTATTGTGGGAGAATCTACTTCTAAAACCACACTGTGCTGCTGAGTGGAGACTTCTCGCCTTTTTAAAATCACGCTGAGAAGAAAAGTGCTGAATGCAAAAGCAGCCAACAGTGATCATCGGTGACATGAGAGGCATCAAACCAGGGGGGCTGATGAATTTGTAGAAAATGGCCCCGTTCGATGGCCCTTCAGTCCTGAAACTGACCACCCTAAGCAGAGTGAGCACAATTAAAACAACTGAAATACGTTCTTTACGTGGGTAAGTCACAGTAACATAATAATTGTGGGTAATGTGCATTATTTTCACCTCCATCAAGCTCTGAGCACAAGGCCTGCAGCTCGGCCTCAACATGACAAAGGAGCCGTTTACTCCTCAAAGCTTGTGAGAAGCTGCCACAAAACAAGATGCAGAATCCAAAGGTGGTGGAGGAAAAGCTTGTGTCGTCAGCGAGAACCAAACCAACTGATTCACCACGTGACGTAGAAGGAGAACGTGATACAGCGTTGGATCTTTCATATTTTAGGAAGCTATTGATTTAACTGTTGGAATGCGGAACTGCCTGAAAAGGAAGAAATCATCTTTGGATTTTTGGAGTCTTCCGTCCCGATCCAGGTCCCACTGCCACAGACTTCCTGTCACACGAGCTGCAGGACGGCGTAGCGGTCACGTGACGTGTGACCCGGGGCTCTGCCCCCCCCCGTGGAGCCAGGCCTGCTCTTATTCACTCGCTGCATTTCACTACCTTTTAAAAGCTACATGATGAGCATCATTTTCACAGACAGCGAAGGCAGAGCAGAGACGCTAATGGAGGAGCAGCGGCGGTCGGACGCACTGGATAAGAAACGGAGCCTCACGATTAACACTTTTCGGTTTTTTTTTTCTTCTTCTTCTTTTCGTGTCTTTCTCTGGCCCCCGACAACGTGTGTGCACATCATGCGAGGAGACGTTTCTCACCTCCTGCCCGAGAGAAGGCAGGTATCAATAATTCACAGACGAGGTGAACACCAGTTTAATGGACACAGCAGTAACTCTCCTGAGAGGGAGGCCATTATTTTTTGGGATAGAGGGGGAGATGCACTCGTGCAATCCTGAAGAAAAAAACAAAAACCCACACAGGTGTGTTTATTTTGGGGGGGAGATCAAGCGTCTGAGGACGGGGGTCTGTGACGAGATGAAAGAGACAAATGGCGTCCGTCACAGAGCAGCTCTCACTGCGTATCAAGAGGAAACGGCAGCAAAAGGAGCCCACTTCTCTGCAAGCAGCGCACAACTCACACACACAAGTCAACACAAACAACTGGCCTGATCACAGATTGGATTTTTATTTTCGAGACTTTCAAACGGATCCGTTCATGAATACTTAGTGGCAGCGTGACTGGGTGTTGGGGGGGGCGGAGGCCTGTGAGCGTCTCTACTTAATTAACAGGGTAAATAAAGCGGGCTTGTGAAAATAGAGGGTTAAGATTCTATCAGTGGGATTACTCAGCCATGAGGCCGCGGGACGAGAGATCGGCGCCGGCTTACGGCGGTGGTCCCAGCGGATAATTAGCCTCCGCAAAGGCCGTCTGCACGCAAGCCCACCTGCCTCAGCGCGCTCGCCGCTCAACTCGCCGCCCACCAGAGGCTGAAACGGAGAAAGAGGAAGTGTGGAAAAAGGCCCTGCGCGGAGCCGTGTTTCATGGCGCGTTTGGCCGCCACACTGAGCTCACAGATAAAGTGCGCCCGTGTTGCTGTTTCCCGACCCGCCCGCGGGGGACGTCTCCAATCATAATTGTATCAAAACAGCAGCGGCGTGGCTAACAGCGCCTCGGGCGACGGGCGGCGCGGGAGGAAAGAGGCGAGGTCACCGCATCCTTTTGAGCCGCGGCGAGGGGCGGGACCTGACCGCAGGTGTTGGTCTGTGCCCTCGACTGCTTTAAAAGAACCTGAAGTGTACCGTACTGAGAGGAGCGGCCTTGTCGGCTGCATAAATCAAGCCCAGCTGTGCGCCGCAAACCCGGCGGCGCGCGATTGCGACTGCGCCACAAACTTGTCAGACGTCGACTTCACGCAGCCCGGTGACTAAACGAGCACGCGCTGCCTTCTCTTGTGACGCCGTCGGCATCAAGGTCAACGGGCCAATTAGAGAGCAGAAGCAAATGCGGCGCGGCGCTTTTTCTTTTGTGTGCGTGTTCTTTCAGTCAACAAAGCCGTCGGGTCGCTGCAGAAGAACAGGGACACCTGGGCATTTACTGTTGACAATTCTCCGATGTGGGTGTAATTGATATGGATTTTTGCTGTACTCGGGCCGGTGCCAATGACTCTCACCTTGTCACGGGATCATTAGCCGCAGTGAGCGATCAGACCATTACCAAGCGGCTCTATGATGGAGGGCATGATTAGCTTTGAGGTGGTTTGAAATGTAAAGCCCTTCCACTAAATCATGAGATGTATCAAGCTATAACTACACGGAGTGATTCTGCTGCCCGGACGACAACCTGGAGCTCGTCTTCCTTTTCATTTCCCACACTAGGAACCGTGGTTGCAGGCCGCTTTGAGCAGAATGTCTCTCCAGCTGTTGGATGAACGTCGGATACAGAAATTCTCCCACTGTGGCGTTTATGATGTCGTGTGTTGGGCTGAATTGGTTTGTGCCACTCATTGACAGGCACTCGTGGGTCTTTGGGCAGCAGCAGATCGTGTGATGATGATGATGATGATGATGATGATCACACCACGGGTGAGACAACCCGTCATCCAATCACAGGCCCCCTTATGCTTGTTAGCATTCACGCATTTTCTGTGTAAATGCTCCAATTTGTGGATGTTTCTTTTGGTCACAATATGGAATGATCCCTAAATACAGATAAACATGGAGAAAAGGAGAAAATTCTTAATTTGTATTTGAAGGTGAGAAAGACAAAACTCTTCATGCTTCCACTAGAACGCCGCATCAAGGCGAGCGACGTCATCTACTGCTGAAAACAAAGAGCTTTGATCGAAGCATCGCCTGCTGTGTTACACCGACTACAACGAGCTCATAACGGTTTTTGCTTCAGGACTCAAATGTTGTTTTTGGGGGAAGAAAAGCGGAGACGATTCCAGTGGAAGTTTTAGGAGCGAAGATATTACCGGTGACCCGCCGCCGTCCGGAGGGGAGCCAACAATGTTTCCACCCTGACGGAGATATTACTCCGTCTGATGGATTGCCGTGCAAGTTACTTGACTTTTATGAAGACAGTGA